TGCCATTGAAAGCCATATAATGGACAACCAGGGGATCAGGCCTAGTCAGCATGGGTTTGTGAAAGGCAGGTCCTGCCTGATAAACCTGATCTCCTTCTATGACAAAGCGACCTGCTCTTTGGATGAGGGAAAGGCTGTGGATGTTGTTTACCTTGACTTTAGTAAGGTTTCCCACTGTTTCCCACTGGATTCCCCTGGTGAAACTGGCTGCTTGCGGCTTGGATGGGCACACGCTTTGCTGAATAAAAAACTGTCTGGATGGTCAGGCCCAGAGAGTTGTAGTGAATGGAGTTAAATCTGGTTGGCGGCCGGTCACGAGTGGTGTCCCCCAGGGCTCGGTGTTGGGGCCACTCCTGTTTAACATCTTTATTGATGATCTAGACAAGGGGATGGGAGTGCACCCTCAGTCAGTTTGCAGATGACACCAGGTTGTGTGGGAGTGTTGATCTGCTCGAGGGTAGGGAGGCTCTGCAGAGAGACCTGGACAGGCTGGAGCCATGGGCTGAGGCCAACTGGAGGAGTTTCCATAAGGCCAAATGCCGGGGGCTGCCCTTGGGCCACAACAACCCCCAGCAGCGCTACAGGCTTGGGGAGGAGTGTCTGGAGAGCTGCCAGAGAGGGACCTGGAGGAGTGATTGACAGCCGGCTGAACAGGAGCCAGCAGTGTGCCCAGGTGGCCAAGAAGGCCAATGGCATCCTGGCTTGTGTCAGCAATAGCGTGGCCAGCAGGGACAGGGAAGGGATCTGACCCCTGTACTCGGCACTGGTGAGGCCGCACCTCGATTTCTGTGTTCAGTTTTGGGCCCCTCACTACAAAAAGGACATTGAATGACTCGAGCGTGTCCAGAGAAGGGCAACGAAGGTGGTGCAGGGTCTGGAGCACAGGTCGTAGGAGGAGCGGCTGAGGGAACTGGGGGTGCTTAGTCTGGAGAAGAGGAAGCTGAGGGGAGACCTCATCACCCTCTACAGATACCTGAAAGTAGGGTGCATATAGCTGGGGATGAGTCTCTTTAACCAAGTAGTAAGCAATAGGACAAGAGGTAATGGCCTCAAGTTGCGCCAGGGAAGGTTTAGACTGGATATTAGGAAGCATTTATTTATAGAAGGGGTTGTTGGGCGTTGGAATGGGCTGCCCAAGGAGGTGGTGGAGTCCCCATCCCTGGAGGTGTTTAAGAGTCGGGTTGACATAGCACTTAGGGATATGGTGTAGTTGGGAACTGTCAATGTTAGGTTAATGGTTGGACTGGATGATCTACAAGGTCTTTCCCAACCTAGATGATTCTGTGATTCTGATTCTGTGAAAACAAAACCATAATGCAAGGTTATTACATTAACAGTTCATACACACTGAGCTGATCTTGTGAAGCTATATGGGGCATTTAAGTAACCATTTTATATATATTACATATTTGTACACTGCTTCTTCAAAAGAGTTAGCAAATGGAAAGCAGTACATATTTCAGTGTTAAAACCACAAACATGCCAAATAATCATGAAGAGATTTAAATTTTAAGGAGTCTATCCCTGTCCTATACAATTATCTAAAAATATTTTATGTTGAGATTCATACTTCTAGTTTTACAACACTCTTCTACGGGTCAAGGTTTTTTTTTTTTTGTTTTTGTTTTGTTTTGTTTTGTTTTGTTTTGTTTTTTTTTCTAATAAAATGCTGTCATTTGAATCATTCTAATAAGCATTCTTCATTTTATTTTTAACAATTCTTGTACCTTCTGTCAAAATCAGGAATTTTAGACAAAATAATTAAAAAAAATTCAAAATATCTAACATTGAGAAGAGTAAACTTAGTCTGAAATGTACAGCCAAATTTGTATTTACTGGTACAGTTTTGGTTTATCACAGTAAATTTAATCTTAGCTCATGTATGCAGTAGTCAAGAATGAAAAAAAAAGTTCACCTAAATTTCATTGAATATAAGCTATGTTCATGTTACATACAGGAAACAGCCTTTTCTCACCATTTTTACAAGTCAATGTGGTCTGTGAATGATTGCTAGGGAAAGAAAGGGAGGAAACTGGTGATGTCAAACCCTGTGCAATGAAGCCACACCATCACTGCAAGTGATTCTGAATGTGTTTCCCTGACACTTTTTGCATAAAAAGGTTGGGTAACGTCTTCAACAATACAGGTTTTTCAATCTGTCCCAAATCCTCTCCCAAACCTCATACTCCTGTAGTATATCTCTGTGACTGTCATCTATCCCATTACCCATCCATTTGCTACTTCTAGATTGTGCTGGAATTTCATTCCCTGAAGACAAAAGACCAAAAAACCCTAAATACAAAAAAAAAAAAAAAAAACCAAACCCAAAACCCTAAGGAGGGTAAGTTGTCATGTGTTATAGAAAAAATGAAGAAAAGTGACTGTATACAAGGAAAGCTCATAGCAGGGTACATCCAAATTCTGAAATCTCTTGAATGGGCAAAGCAATCCTACATCTATGAAGATGTGAAGAAGAAAAATGGGGAATAATGTATTTTAACATCCTCAAAAGGTCTTCCTCTTATGAATTCATTCTAGTATTTATAGTAGAAAAAGTACTTTCTAACATCTCAACTGACATTAAAATATTATGGTTTGAAAACGTCAACTGTTCCAGACAGAGATTTTCCCTTGTGTTCATGAGTCTGAAAGCTTTTCTTACTGTCGATGCTGCAAACATAATGAATCATTCTTCATATTTTATCTTTTAATACCACCAACTTCATGACTAGGCAAGACATTTCAACCCAAGTATTGCTTCCTACATGCAGCTCTCAAATATCCTGTTTTAGTTCTGAAATGGATAAAAACTGATGGCTGATACACTGAGATCAGCCATATTTAATGAAATTAAATATATTAATATATTATCACATACTTTTATGGGGTAGCAGTATTCATCCTGTGGTTAACTCACTCTTGGCATGTGGTAACAAGTGCAGACACTAACAGGTTGGAAAATATATTGACATCCTTTGGTCAGTAGCTGGCTAGATTCTAACATCAGTTATGCAGATATTTTAGTTGCACAAAAATGTAGCTCTGTTTTTAATTGAGTTGATATTTTAAAAAATTAACCATAATTTTAAACTTGTAATTCCTGATGTCCTCATTTAATGTTACTTACATTCAGACTGTTTTCAGAAGGACATATCTAATAGTTCATTCTTGATTAATTAGACATGACTCATCACCACCATCTAAGTTTTCACAGAATTCTTCCACATCCGAATGCCACCGCTTCCAAATTATATAATCCCCAACACTTGCAGAAAGACAGCAGAGGGACAAAATACCTTATTAGAAGATTTCTGGAAACAAGCCCTCTATTCTGCATTCCAACAAACAGGATGTATTAGGATCATAGGATAATGGAGGTTGGAAGGAAGCTCAGGAGGTCTCTAGACTGACTGTCAGTTATGAACACAGACCACGTTGCTCAGGGCTTTGTCTAGGTTGGTGTTAAAATTGTCCAGGGGTGGAGACAGCATAGTCTTTCTGCATAACCTGTTCCGCTGTCTGATTGTCTTCATGGGGAAAAGGTTTCCCCTTCTATCCAGCCTGAATCTTGAAAAACTTAGACCCATTGTCTCTTGTCTTCCACCCACACATCAATATACAGAGCCTGGCTCCATCCACTCAGTAACCATCCTGTACTGGGCGTAGCTGCTAGGTCCCTCTGAAGCCATCTCTTCTGCAGGCTGAACAAGCTCCATTCCCTCAGCCTCTCCTCACAGGGCTTCTGCTTCTGCTCCTGACCATCTTGGTAGTTTTCTGCTGAACTCAGTCCAGCTTATTCATGTCTTTGGTGTACTGAGGGCCTGCAAACTAGATGCAGTGTCTAGATTCAGCCTAGCTTGTGCTGAGTAGAGGGTAATAATCACTACCCTCCATCTACTAACTGTGCTCCTGATAAAACAGCCCAGGATGCTGCCAGCATCCTCTGCTGCCAGGGCACTGCCAGCCCATGCTCAGCTCACTCTCTGTCAGGACCCCCAGCTCTTTTCCAGGAGAGCTGCTGCCCAGCCAGTTAGCTCCCAGCCTGTGCCCGTGCAGGTGGTTACTCAGTCTCAGAGACTTTGCTTGTGTCCTTGTTGAATTTCATGAGGTTCTTGTCAGCCTATTCCTCTATCTTATCTTGGTCCATCTGAATGGCAGTCCTGCCCTCAAGTATTTTGACTGTTCCCTCCAGTTTGGTATCATCTGCAAACCTGCTGAATGTGCACTCTTTCACCTCCTCCAAATCATAGATAAAGATATTTAACAGAACAAATTCCACTGCTGATCCCTGTGACACTCCCCTTGCCCCAGATCTCTGGGTAGAATACATGCCATTTATCATTGCCCTAAGACTCCAATCATCTAACCAGCCTTTTACCCATATAGTTTTCCACTCATCCAGACTGTAATGTCTGAATATGGAAATGAGAATAGTGAGACACAGCATTCATGTGCCCACAGGTATAGCTCTGCAGATCATCCTTTTGTTTGAAGATGGGTGAAACTATTAATTTTTCCTGCTGTTGTTGGAGGCCTCTCTCAGTCTCCCCAACATTTCAAAGATAAGAAAGCAACTATACAAGGATATTGGCCTGCTTTCTTTTCACCCATTTGATCCTGTGGGCTTCTATGGGTTGAGTTCTCTGGAGCGGTCCCTGTCTAAAACTCATCCACTGCTGGTTATTTTCCTTCTGCTTGAAGCCTGCCTCAAATCAGAGGCCTGAGAGACCTTGTTGGTGAACACTGAGAATACCTCAGCCTTGTCTGTGTCAGCAGAATTACTGGATTGTCTGTGTATGTGAATATATGTTTATGTATTTAAATATATGTAATATACATAATATGTAATATTACTTAACACATACATAAACATCCACACCAGCTGGTGTTATATAGTCTTAAAATTTTATTTAGTGGAATCTGTCTCATAAGAGGTTCTTTCTCTAATATAACACAGTTATTTGTATTTCATTGTTATCACCTCATACTCTTTATTCTAGGATCATCAAACCATTTTAAGAGCATGGGCAGTTAAAGACTTTGCTCCAAATTGTCCTTTGTATGTCCAAATACTGAAGCCTGAGAATAAATTCCACATCAAGTTTGCAGGTAAGTGTAAAATTTCAGCCATTTGAAACACTTGTTAGTATTTGGCAGTTTGGTTTGTAAATGCACAAGTAAACTGAGATTCCCTAGGTGTATTTACTGGTTAGAAGCAGATGAAGAGTGCAGTATTGTAAAATAACATGGGCTGTATATATTCTATCAATACTAAAATGTCATGTTTTACATTAATGTCTTATAAATAAGTACTTTTAAGGATTATTACTCTTTTATGTTACACAGAGTAGAATTATTTGACATATAACACATTGTTACTCCTTAATTATAGATTCAGATAGGTTTCCAGCTTGCTATATCCATGTCTTTAATCATTTCTGTCTACTAAAAAATACTGTTACTAAGTGATATATGAGAAGATCCACTCACAAAAGTCAAATTCTATCCAACAAACATTTAAAAGAAAGTCTTCCCATTGGACTGTTTTCTTCTGAGTGGTATGAAAAACATAAAACCATGTTCATTACTTTCAAATATTTTGGAAAGAGACATATAATTTAATTCTATATCCAGTAAAATGCATGTCTTAGAAACTATGACATAAAATACAAAATGATGTTAAGAAATCCAAACAAATCCTCTCTTATAAGAAGAGATTACCAGCTTTAATCTAACAAACTGTTTCTCTGCACTATGTAGGTAGGTTTCTTTCTCTCTCTATATATAAACACACACATACATATAAGTACATACAGACATATACATGCTCATGTGCAAAAAGAAGCAAATACTTTTATAATGAACTCATTTTTCCTATCCTTGGAAAAATATCGCTATGAAGTAGAAGCAAAGCTTTCCTTTTCAAATGTAATTTTGAAAATTCAGGTTTTTTGAAGGATGTTCTAAGGAAGAAAAGATTGCTGATTCATGCAAAATTAAAAAAACCACCCCTCTATAGAAAATATTAGTCTCCTCCATCATCCTAGGATGTGATGAAAAATTAAATTCCAGTGCAACAGTCAAAGCTGTAATTTCAAAAGTGACTGAATTTACCACTCGGTTGGAAAGAAGGAAAAAAGCATCAATAGCAATTCTGAAGTTATAAAAGTATAATCTCACACTATAAAATGGCACAGCAGGGAATAAGACTCATGCTGTGACAAGAATGATGGTACTTTTTCATCTCCCCCTTAAAACCACACAGCACAAACATAATCTCTTCTCCCTAGCCATGGCCACTTTTCTTGATCAGTAACTGTGTTAATTTATTGTTCCTAATTGTATTTTTAAGAGAGTTTCATTATTCTTAATGGCTTGTCTCTGTAGGAGTTTATATATAACCAGACTTGCAAAACAGGTAATTTTTCATATCTGTTCTAAGTCTCAGATTGAGATTTCGGGCCATATTTTTTTTTAAAAAAAGCAAACAACAACAAAACCCAAACTCTCTTTTTGTAATATGTCCTTCAACTAAGCTTAACCAGTCTGGTATCTTACTGTCTTCATTTATGTTCTGTAGTTCTTCACGGGCTTGAGGAAACCTTATATATTCTGTGCCTCATTAGCCCCTTCTAATATTAATTAAGTAGTAATGTATGGTAAGTCTAAATATATAGCACCTTATATCCCCAGACAATTTCATATAAAACATAGGGATCACTGCATCCATTTCCACACATGCCTTCTGAATGAAAGCAGAGAATTACAAGCCTTCCTTCAAGATTAATTTAATTTTACTCATATAAAGCACAGGAAATTTTTTATGCAGTTTTAAATTCAGCAAGATATCAACCATGGTATAAACATCACCACTGGAGGCTTACCTACTGCAAATGGTCTACTGATAGAGTCATGAGAACAACATTTGTTTGCATACATTTTCCTAAGAGGACCCTACTTTGATTATTAATCTCATCCAGATTTTCTTATTCTGAAATACGTAGTCAGTGGGGGCTGCAGACTATAGACTTGTCCAGAGTGCTTGCGAATAAAATTTGTCACAACCATATGGAACATTTTTCTAAGTGTTCTTCCTATTATCATTCAGGACTGCTTTATTACTGCCTTAATGCAACAGCTTCTTTTAAATTTGATATTCCTTTAAAAAAATTACTCCTTTCCTCTGGAGGTTTCTCAAAACAATACTGTGCATTTTTATGAACCTGAAATATTCAGTAATAGGATTTCTTTGGAGTTTTTTTCTTTACACACAGGTTTAGAGACTCTAATGGTCAAAAAGAAAGTTTCTGAACTTAGAAAAAATGCAACCAGAGTTCCAGAACGTCCTCCTAACAAAAGTTTAACTTATAACTACATTGAAAAATTTACAAAACACTAGAAGCTCTGTTTCCCAGCAGTTTATATTAGGTTGACCAGTCATCCTAGATTGCACGAGACTCCTGAAATTTAGACCCTGACTGCATTTTCCTGTAGAATAGCATCCTGGAGATTTTCTGCCTTAGGCTTCAGAAACAGTATATGGGAAAAATAATTGTTATAATTTATTCTCATCTGGTAAACAAGACTTTTACATTCTTCCTTCTTCAATAAGATAACTTATTCTTGTCATCACAGCAATAGAATGGAGACGCTTTGCACAGGGTAAAATGGCTTGTCAGAAAGGGATGTTTCCTGTCTTTTTACCTGATGCCAGACACACATCCTTGCATCCTGAGTCTTCTCTGTTATTTTTTACAGTGGAGTTTAACTACTTAGTTTAAAATGGTAACATGCATATATTAATACAGTGGAAATATTTCTGTCTGCTTGAATATGATTCTTCAGTGGAATCTGAAAAGCACAGGACGTAAGTGTCCCAGCAAACTCTTTTGCAAGTTCAAGGTGTGAAGACCCTATATATATATGTATATATATATATATATACAGTCACTCTAACATGACAGTTTTCAGATGGGCAAGGAAACACTGTATCACCATTGTTTACCATCTTATGTCTTAGGCTGAAATGCTTTGATTATTCCGTAGTAATTTCCAATATAAGATGCCTTGAGATGCCCAGTTTTTCTTTCATTAATACTGCATTTTCCTTGACTGGCAGTTACATATGGTTTTCTTAATCTCCCTGCTTTGTCTTCAAACGCACGGGGCTACAAAACAGCATGTACTCTTAAAGCATGCATCTGGCCTTACATTTCATCAGAAACATGGAATAAAGTGAAGATTATCCACAGCAGTAGTATGTTTATGCAGTTCAGAGACTGGAGTAGATTACATATTGAGTTGAATTTACAACCTTTATGTATTTGCCAGAAAATAAAATAATTGCCGTTACCTCGAATATTCAGAAATTATACATAATCACTATTCTGGGAACTGGGGATACATTTTGACATTCTTTATTTATTCAATATGCACCAATGAATTAGCACAGATTGGTGATGTCCAACATTAAACCTTCAGTAGTTTATTCGGCAGTGACATAGTCCAGGTTCACCAAAACAGATTAAACGCATCTGATGATTAATCTATCCAATTACAGATAAAAATAGTTTATAGAGATAATGCATGGGCATTTTTCTCTATCTGGTTTGGTAGTGATAATGTTAATTTATCAAAATGACAAAAGTAGGGTTTCTCAGAATAATTGTCAGGTCTAGAACATTCTCACCACATGGCTGCAGGCATAAATCAGTATTTTGAGTATATTTTATCTTCAGGAATGTTACAGAAGTCATAACTCAGCACACTGCATTACTACATCTATTTGAGACAGACTTAGCCACAAATTTTCTGTCAAAATATATTTTCAACAGAAACTACAGCATCTGCAAATTCTAAATGGAATATAGAGAATTCTTGTTCCTTCAATATCAGGAAGTCAGTATTCACTTTCATAAATATTTGCCATCTGACTAATGGTAATAGAATGGAGATATTCCATCCAAGCAGTAGACTATACCTTACTCACTCAATATCTCTAGCTTAAAGCTCAAATAGATATGATGGCAAGTGGTCAACTAAGAGAACACATTTCTGTCTGAAATATTTTCTTCAGGAAATATTTATTTGCTATAACTTAAATATATTAACTGAAATATATTCAGAGGAGGAAATAAAATCTCATTTTGTTCTATATTTGACATGTCTTCATATAACTAAATTCATTCCTTTCCCATGACATTTAAATAGGCCTTGACCTTCAGAAAATGAGAGAATGAATTTCTGTTTTCAGTAGTCAATAATTCTGTTGCTGAAAAGCTTATAGAAATTTCAAAAAAAGGAATAGAGAAGGCATACAAAGTATGCCCTTATTTTTGTTTTCAGTAAGTGGCATGCTTATAGCTATACTATAAATTATATCTAGAAAGTAGGTTAGTTAGAGAAATGAGGTGGTTCTAAGGATTTCAATGATACCTTCAGATAAAAAAAAATATTAATGCATTCATGACCTTAGAAAACCTTTATGATTTTAAGCTTCTACACTGACAGAAAGTTTAATTAAGTTGTAAGTTTTATGCTTATGCCATCTTATATCTATTTTAATACTGCCAGGTATATGTGAATGACATTAAAGAGTAATTTCTAGTTCCTATTCATGCTGTCACCAGCACTGGTGAACATTTAACTGTGATCTGAATTCTATGCACTAGCCATCCAAGTTGAATAACAATAATTTATACAATATTGAAAACATGTGCAGAATATTTATCAGTTTTAAATATAAACCAATACAGAGGACTAGATATAATGTGTCTGTTGCTTTCTGTTCTCACTTCCCCTCCCATAAATTCCATTCAAAGTCAGAAAAAAGCAGGTGTGTCTATAGTACTGTTCCATCAGAGAAAGTGACATACCTTCCTGTAAGGACTCTCAAAAACAAAGCATGATTTTGTGATTACAAAAGCCAGACAAAGACTGGGGTAAGAAGAATGCAAAGTTGTAAAAAGAACAGAAAAGAAAAAACAACTACCTTCCTTGCCTAGGTTGCAAGGAGACAGCAGCTGTTAGCAGTTCCTGGGGGAGGTATTAGTCAAATCTACGTGACACATGGAAGTGCAGTGCAAAATCCCAGAGCCACTGCCACGTAACAGGTCTGCAAGCCAGTCCTGCTCTGCAGTATCGGAGGTATCCTACTTCCTGAACACAAAATTCTACCTTTGTACAGTGCTTGATGTTTCTATACCAGTTTATGAAAGACTGCAGAAGGTGCAAAAGATACAAACTAGACTATGCTACATGGCTTACTCATAAAACTAGTGCAGCAAGGTAGTGGAAATGGGATACACAGAGCTGTTGCATCCTCTCCGTGTGTAGATGCAGGACAGAAAGTAAGAGCTGGATGCATAATTAACTCTACTCATGCAATCTGAGAGAGAGCATAGATGGGGCAGAACATATACAACTGCCCTCCAGGTTCAAGTGGAAGATGAAGATCTGGAGGCAATTTTTCATTGCCTCTATCTTCACCATTTTCCTAGCCAATGAGAGGAAGTGATAATTCTGTTCAATGGAATGTATTTTTACAGTTTCTATTTCCTTTTTTTTTTTTTTTTCCTACAGATCATGTTGTGTGTGAAGAGGAATTCAAATATGCTATGCTAGCTCTAAATTGTATATGCCCAGCTACCTCTACATTAATCACACTGCTGGTTCATACATCTAGGGGACAGTAAGTATATACTACCATAAAAAACACCCGCCTTGTAAAAGTTATAGCTGATATTCTTTGGAAGACAGCTTATCCTGAATTCCCAAACAACTACAGTTTTTAAAAAGAAATTAAAACTTTCTGCAAAATAAAAGCATTGAGATGTTTTACTTCTGATATAATTTCAAAAAGAAACATCCTCCAAATACATTTAACAAATTGTTGCATGCTGTTATGCCACTTCCACAATAGAACATATGCAAAATTTTATTTCCAGCACACAGTTCTGCTTAACACCACCACCAAGACCCAAGAATATTTTAATATGTTAACTTGAATGTCTATTTTTGTACCTAGAAAAATTCCTATTCAATGAGCTCAAAAAAGTTTTTCTGATAACATATAAAATATTTTCTATTCAGTGCCTGTGCATTAAGAAGCAATCAAACATGCATGTGAAGACATGGTTTTTAACATAATAACCACACTGCTGGAAGGTGTACAGAATTATGGTGTCTCTACACACTGCATAGTCACAGTAGAACCTCTCTATATTTACCAAAATAATTTTATCACATCTAGTATATCTCTGTTATGCTATATTCTTGGAATAATAAGGTATTTTAATTAAAATATTATGGGTAAAGAGAGGAATTAAAATCTCCAAATACATCTGTAGAAATGGAATATGTGCATATAGATTGCACAAGAATACATCTGAGAGTCGAGTAAAAATACATACTGTTTTTCAAGTAGCCATGGAGCCAGTAATATCTTGATACCTACAAGCAGAGTTATTTAACCTTCTATATGGCATTTGTGGTATTCCCCTGTGCCCAGGATGGGGAAAACTGAAACTGCTGCTAGAACTTTTACTACCAAGAGCAAAAAATGTCAAGGTTTTAATGGCACTGTCTGTACTAGAATCTGCCAATAAGATGACAACAAAATATTGTTTCCATGCCTCCTGAGAATCATGGTGAAATACGTTCTTCATCTGGCTAGCTTTCATTATCTGACATGCACAGAATACAGAGAGCCTTCCTTAGTTACTTCATGTAGTATATATATATACTACAGTATAGCAGTATTCTAGCAGAGAATTTTCCATCAGCAAAATCAGATATATGAAAGGGACTTTGTTTTCTGCTGTACATAAGAACTTCAGCATTTCATTTTTAACACAGGCATATTGATCTTTTATACACATTCTCAATTATGACACAAAGTAACTGCAGCGGAGTACAAAAGTGCTTATTATTTCTTTTGCAATCAGAATTAATTGACGTAATCAAGGGTTGTGAAAATAACTGATTTCTAGTCTGGTCAGTGTATACTAGGAGGAAAAATTTTATTTTTGCACAAATAGTTGTCAGCATTACTTTGAGTCCTTTTACAGAAACATGCAAACTTGCTGTTTAAATAAAGACTGGAAAAGTGAAAATAGATACTTGTCATTCCTTTGCTTTAGTCATCAGAGCATTTAATCTCAGATGAGCTCCAAAATACTGAACAAAGACAAACTTTGGACATCTTAGAGCTTGTGTATTAATGCTGGACTAGTTGGTTGAATAGATATGGCTGTTCTTTGAAACCACAGTATATCTGTTAAGGTTTAAACCAGACACATTAGAGGGGAAAAAAACTTCAAAAATATTTCAAATTTCACTTCACAGTGCAAAAAATAAAAAAAAAAACAACCCTCAAAACCCCTCAAAAAATCAAGTATTTCTCTCCCAAAATATCACTTTCTAAGCTGTCAAATTTAATATTTTTGCTCCTTCATTTCATTTTTTCTAAAAATTTACATACTTCCCACACATAAAAAGGTATATAATTCCAAAATTGATGGGGTTTTTCTTCCCCTTTTATTCTTACAACTTTTTAAGATCCCTTGGAAATGCTGGAATATGTTCTCAAAAGTCTACTTTAACTGCGATTTTAATTTTTCATTAAGTTTTGTACAAGTGCACAAGTCTGTTCACTGTATGATAAAAGCCACCAAGTCAAGCATTCAAAATTAGGAAATGAGGACAAACCTACCTTTTTGCTAGACTGATCTGATCCTATTAAAAAAATGTACTGTGCTCTTGGAAACATTACGTGATGATGTACTTGAGCTTATTTTTTGCTTATGACTGAATGTTACATAAACCATGTTTAATCTGGAAGCTCTGTGTCCCTGAGTATTTAGTTAAGATGATCTTTAACAACTAGAGATTTAACCATTGATTGTTAACAACTATGCACTTCTTGAATATAATATTTTAAATTCAAAGGACAGTAATCACGCATAAGTCAAAAAATCATATAAAATATTTAAATATGTAAAAATAATTTCTTTCCTGAATTACCACTTCAATGTCCCAATTTTATCAATATTATACTTGACTTTTTTATTCATTATTTTTATGCTTTATTCATAATTTTTAAGTGCAATACCATAAATTATTTAAACACTTGCTAAATAAAATAAACTCATAACTAGATACAGGTAAAAATTTAATCTTTAGAAGTATTGTACTTGAGTCAAGAAATTTAGTTTCAAACTTTCTTACTCACTATACACTAACATTTTAGAGAAAAAATTCCTTTTAAACTTACATCCTTCATAAGCATCTCCTGAGATTTGCACTGACGCTAGAGTGCTTGAACAGTGTTGATAAAGTAAATGATTCTGCACTTCGTTGTCTTCAGGGGGAAATCTGTTTTTAAAATAGGTGTCAGTTTTGAGCTTCATCAGGTTGTCATTGCACTGCAGACATAAAACTGCTTCAGATTTGGTAAATTTGATAATGGTTTTGATTTTCTAGATATTTTCTAATGTTGAACAATAGGTAAATTAACTGCTAATTGTTAAAACAGGTTAAATTACCTTTATGCATATGAAAGGTGAAGTCAGATGAACATTGGAGTTTGACTGAGTAAAAAGACTAAGTGAAAATAGATTATTTAAACTACAGATAAAAATGTTAACTATATATACATTTATTGCCAAACTAAATATTAAATTAGACCTAAATAATGAAGAGTATTTGTTAAGTAGACTTCCAGTGTTAACAGTGAACTGCTTTGCTTTACATTGGTTCCTGTTTAATTATCCTTTCATTATCCTGGTTAATACCAGCACCTGCATTAAACTTGAGTAGGACTTGAGTTTTAAATCCCTATCAGTACTGACTTCCTTATATAAAAAGAACAGACTTGGATTATGGGGAGACTGCAGTGAATGAACTGCTTCCAATCTTGGGTAATCTTTTTAAAGTCTATTCAAAGTCATTGAGAGGATTTTCTTAATAATTAGTTCAGGATTCCATTCACAGAAGCCCAGTATCTGTTGACTCACAAATTTATTAACTTCAGTGGAGTGACTGGGAATGTTTGTTCAAGTTGTTCTCACAAAGAACCAAGTTCAAATGACTACCTATGACTTTCCATTCCACAAGGAATGGCTCTTCTTTTTACACAGTATTTTAGGTCCATGTAACTAGAGGAGATTAACAAGGAACTGACCGGAACATTTCTTATCATTTTCCTGGTGAAAAGTCATTCATAAAGGGAAAATATGACCACTTCCAAATTTTAGCTTTTTAACATTTGTTAATTCAGTGAAGTTATGATCTTAACCTAAGTGACTTTAAATTTTAATGGAATTAAACAGTTCATTGATAAAACATTGTCCCAACTGTTGCTGATGTACTCTTACAAATAAAGCGCTATTTATTCCACAGGGAATCTATTTCCTATATTTATTAAGAAATACTGTGACACTGTTCATAATACAAGCTCATTTCTGATAATCATGAAGATAAGGACATTGGGAAATTACTGGAAGTTAAAGGCAATAGCAGCCAAACACAGGAAAATTATTACTAATTAGAATGATAATAGAATAAACTGTAAACAAAAAGAAATACATGTACATAAATTAAAAAGACCTTATCTTCTGCTACTAATATGTGAAGAGAGGGGGGAAAATGTTCATTTTCCAAGCAACTTTGGCCAGATCAACTTGCTATTAAAATTAATGGGAAGTTTGCTGCTGTTTATGTGAACTTGCTTTGGTCTTTAATGCTACTTTTCAGATTAGACAAACTAGATGTAAATAATCCCATTGTCTTCTCAGCTGTTTATGGAATTCAAAGCCTCAGTCTGTAAGACACCAAAATTCTACCTTGAATCTTATTTATAATTTTATTATTGATCTTAATTATTAATCTTAACATCTATCTTTAAATGTTATCTAATTATCTAATCTAGTAATAGAATTTTATTAGGGTTTATATTATGATATAAAATACTGAAAGAAAACAGCCTTTGTTACTTGAACTCAATGTGATCTTTACAGAACAGCCCCATGGGAAGCTTTTAGACAACTAACTGGAACGAAGCAGACTTTAAACAGGTGAACATTTTATTTTGGGGGGAAAAGTGAAATATGGAATAATTTTATTCTGGAATTACATTTCTAGTTATGCTATTCTATAATTAGTGCCCTGTTTGTTAATACTGTTGCAATAAAAATTGTTTACTTCCATCCTGAAACATTGTTTCTACACTGAGGGTGGAGATAGAAATTGTGTTAAGATACAGAAAATGTATGAATGAGCATGTCCCATATCTAAACTCCAAGTGGCAAAACACAGAGCACATTTTTCAGTTTTATATGCTATCTATATACATATATTTATATATATGCATCCTTATATCCAGTAAAACTCATGCAGACAGAACCTTGTTTCCATGTGAAACTTTAATAAAGAAAGAAGTTCACAGAAGCCCTAAGTCTGCAAGATTTGTTGTTAGCTGAGTTTTGGAACATTTCCACATGTCCAACAGTCCATTTGGATAAAGGACATAAACTGCATATAGTAAAGGATGATATGCTTAATATGGTTAAAGTAATAATTTATTTTTGTGCACTACAGAAAAGAGATTTATCATAATATACAAGGCACAGTATCTACAAATGTCCATAGGGTAAATGATGAAGATAGAAAATAAGCAAATGCAGAAAAAAAAATCTTTCTTACACATAAAATGACTGAAGTTAAATAGGTCTTTCCTACTTGTTATTTTTAATGATTCTTTACCTGCTTCAAACAGGAACCAGACAATCTGCGATGGAGCACCTGAAGAGACTGCCTTTATGAATAGAATGAGCATGCTGTTGGTTTCACCTATCATCTTTAAATTGCAATGAATCTACTTATTATGGTGTGAATTTAATGTAATTCAGCCATATTTCTCCTGATATTAAAGCACATAATCTTATATGCCTATTACTTAGCAGAAAATGCCCTTTAATTAATTAAAACAATCTCTGTATTTACAGTATTACCAAGCTTTGATCTCAAATATTTCTTTCAGATTAGCCTATGGACCTTTTCAATAGACATTTGTAGTTTCTATTGCCACAAAATACTGTTCTGATTAATAAGAATTTTACATTAAGTTTTAAATTATTCTCTTTATCTGTACATGTTTCAGGGAGAGTCAGCAATCACCAGAACAATGGCAGAAAATGTATGGCAGATGCTCTGGTAACGAAGTGTATCACATTAACCTGGAAGAAAGTACTTTTTTTGCTGAATATGAGGGGAAAAGCTTCACATATGCTTCTTTCCATGCACATAAAAAGTATGTTTATTTTACTATCAACAAGTAAAAGGTCAAACAAGTAATTATTGTCTTGCCTGCAACATAGCTATGTATTCAAAGGTGCAGTATTACACATTACTCTGTTGCTAGGTTTAAATATGTGGCCACTAATATATTTCATGGATATTTTTCTGTAAGTTAGAGGTCATCAGGTAAAAGCTCATGCTGGTCCTATATAGGCCAGCTCAGTCTGAGAGAACAGAATTTAAATGATATATAGGATAAGCCTGACAACCAGGAAACCGTAGAGAGGTTGTATGCGAACACCAGTCCCTTTCCATGTCCAAACCAATCTAGAAAGGAGTGGGTGGGAGGATATTAGTGTAGTTTTTAAAATTATTTATTTAGGAGTCAGCTGGAAATCTCACTTCCTTTGTGGGCAGGTTAATTTTATACAGAATGTTTGGTTTAAAGGTGATGCATGCTACTTTTGTGTGATTGTTCAAAATAAACCCGTATTTTTTCTGTTAGATGTTAACATATCTTCTTTAGGTTTCACATCACTCATCACTTATTCTGTGCTGCTCTGTGAGGTGAATGTACAAACTGAATACAAATCATGTATATTTGTATACATTTAACAAAATGATCATATATCAAACCATGAATATTGAGTTTATTCTCGTAAGTGAATGATTTTATTTTTTTTCTTTAACTCCTTATTTTCTATCACTAATCAAATACGTTTCTAGGAGTGAATCGCAAAAATTAATTCTGAAAAAGGTTTCCATTACATATGAATAATGGAACAATTTAACATGATGAATACTTTTTCATATTATATATCCATTCTTCTAATATTTTCCCAGAAGGGACTATTCATCTGATAGAAAAAAAAATCAACTGGAACAGCATTAGAAGAATATTATGGGAATTAAGAAAAATGCTGGATTCAAATGCCTAGGGATTCATGAGCTCATAAAAACTGCTTGATCAGAAGTGGCCTGTTTAGGAGATAAGATTTTTCATACTGTTATCCAAAAATCTGAAAATGTTCATAACCTGCAAAATAGAAAAATATACTGGGCATTCATTTTTGACAGTTGAAGTTCTGGTTTATATGGGACTATGCAAAATGAACCATGCCTTTCCTTTTCTAATTAAGGTTTGGAGTCTGTCTGATTGGTGTTAGAAAGGAAGATAACAAAAACATTTTGCTGAATCCAGGTCCTCGATATATCATGAGTTCTACAGATATATGCTTTTACATAAATATCACCAAAGAAGAGAATTCTGCTTTTAAGAAACAAGAAAAACATAGAAAAAAACATGAATCAAAATTATCTTATCATGGAGCTTCTAGGTTACCTGTACACAGTATAATAGCCAGCATGGGTAAGTAAAAAAGAAAAAAAAAAAAAAAGCCCTTATTCAATGAATAGTGCATTAAAGCTTTTAACAGTGTATTTCTAAAATGGTAATTTAAATTAATATATAAGAAATTGTAATAGTATGTGAAAGAAAAAAATACAAAACACTTGCCCTCATGTTTAAAAAAACCCCAAAACATAACAATCAACAGAATTTGGTTATGTTTTTCTTTTACTTGACTATCTAGAATTAAACTGCTTAAGACTGTTGTATAAAAAAGTATTAATAAAATGTAAGCAAAACAAAACAACTGCGAAAATCACATGGGTAATTTCTTTGTCATTCATAACTGGTTGTTTGTAGTAAGTTTTCATAAGCTTCTTTAATTAAAAAAATGCCCTTGCTCAATAAAAACCTACAGGTTATTGATGCATATAAATATGAATTAATTATATAAGGCATGATTTTGAAAAGGTAGTTAATAAGAAAATATATATTAATGGTCAGAAGAAGTTCTACTTTGCAGGAAAAGACTGTAGTTTAAATATAGTTTAGTAAAGTTTAGTAAGCATAGTTTAAATATTTGTTACATATTAATGTAATAAACACAATCAATATAGTATTCCTTTCAGTCTTTGGCTGTGTAGTCATGTAATCCCCACTAAATACAGGAGTCTCATTCAAATGTTTTGACAACATTGAGAAAATGCTTTCAACGCTACTTCAGGGACAGTGGCTATCGACTTACAAGATACAGGATGCCGAACATCCAGTGGACCTACGCTAGCTCTTCCTTCTGAGGGAGGTAAAGAGGGCAGACGGCCCAGTATAGCACCTGTTTTGGAGGTTGCAGACTCATCCTCGCTTCAGACATGCGACCTGCTAAGTGACCAGTCAGAAGATGAAACTACCCCATCAGATGATGAAGTCTCTGCAGGTTTAGAGTATGTATATTAAATATAAAATAAACAACATAATTTGAAAAGCTAATATTATGTAAATGTCACAGATAATGTTTTGACATGCAGATCAATCCAAGCGGTTGTAGCAAGCAAGACCCAGAAAGGCCAATTATGGAATTTTTCTCCTTTATGAAAAGTTGTTGTCTGTTAGCAGAATGCTGTTACACCTATTTTGTAATAAAAACCACAGATTAACTCCTCCATTTTCTAGAGATTTTCTGTATGCAGTCATAAAGATCTAATTGTATATTGCAGGGTTTTTTACAGCATTTTTTATGACCATTTTTCTTACATTCTGTAGTTATAAAGACAGGACTCAACTAATTTGTAAACAGATAAGTACCTCTATCCTGAGAATTCAGTGATAATCAGATCATTCAACAGACTTCTTGAATGCTGGGTCTAGGTGTCTGACCTCAAAATGTAGGAATGAAAAAAAAAAAAAGCAGTATGAGACAAAATTACTGCATCTAATTTAAAATGCTTGTTACCATGTTACTGAAAGTAGTGTTGCATTAACAGATAAAAACAAGATTCAATCCTGTAACTGCCATGCAGATAAGCAGTTACGGTTTTGGGGATTTCTAACAGGGATGTTAAAACTAAAATGTACAATTAAGCCAGTGGCTCACCTAGCAGTTTCCCAACTCCAACAGTGGCAAGCAGAAGAAGCCCCAGGGAAGATCATAAAGCTCCAATGAAAAAAATAACAGAACAAGTCATCTTAAATCTGCAGACTGAAATACTGGGATTTAAAAGGCCACATTAAAAACTAAGGTCAATTAGAAATTTCATCTCATCAGAAAGAGGATTTGCCATTTAAGATTTATTCTAACCATGTTGAAAGTATGTTATTAAAGCAAGAAGGTAATGACCTCACTCATTCTTGATACGTGTTTGAAGGAAAAATTGAGAAGTGTGGAAATACCACTATCTCTATTTTCTTTTCTTCCTTTTGTTCCTTCTTTAGAAGTTTCCAAAGCATGTATTCAAAACACTGGGACAGCACACTATGATACATCATCGTATTTCCAAAGATGACTATACAATAAAACCCAAGCAAAATTCCTTTAGTCCACGAATGCATGATAGCTTTCACTAAATTTTACTAAATTCAAAGCTGTAAAATATATTCCTTTATTAACATATTAAACATAGTTCATCTCATGTATTTGACTCTGCTAGTCTACAGATAACTGCAAAACTTAGACATAGGTATAAACAACCCATAAAATAGTTGTATAGTAAACTATGTTTCAGTAATTTGCTATACTGAAAAATGTTTGTTCTATTCTCCTAGGTATGCCAAAGGCTATCCTCCTTACTCTCCATATATCGGAAGCTCTCCCACCTTTTGTCATCTTCTGCATGAAAAAGTACCCTTCTGTTGTTTAAGACTAGATAAGGTAAAGGGAATTCCTGTTACTGGATAAAACTATTCTTGTTTGTCTCTTGCATCAGAACAGAGTTAAATTCTGCTTTCTGCTTAGATATGAGGATTGCTCAACACTTACTAAGCTATAAAAGCTTTTCTCATGCTTTTCATCACTAAGTGTTTATGTCTGTTAATCATATTTGTTAATATCTGTTAATCATGTCTTACGTCTGTTAATCACATTTGGTAATCACATTTGGTAATCACATTTGTATCAGGTCATCTGATACAATTTTCTATTTCTAATGGTAAAACCCTTTAATGTCAGAGCTAAATCTATTTATTCATATCCACTGAACTTGTTTCTTATTTTGATTTTAGGGATGCCAGCATAACTACTATGAAGATGCCAAAGCCTATGGATTCAAAAATAAATTGATTATAGTTGCAGCAGAAACTGCTGGAAATGGCTTATATAACTTTATTGTTCCACTCAGAGCTTATTACCGACCAAAGAAAGAACTAAATCCCATTGTATTACTCCTGGATAACCCGTAAGTAGATTTAATTTTTCTTTTCTTTTTCTTTTTTTTTTGTGATACATTTTAAGCTCATTTTACCATTACTTCAATAGGTGATCACTCTTCACATGGCCAACTTAAAATCAAAAACATTATGGCACGTTTATCTTTGATAAAAATTGGTGATAAAAATAATACCCTGTGTTCACTATCATATACAAAATTGACTTTTTACTGACTGTAAATGACCATAGTGAACTGAAACATCTCTATTCTTCATGGCCAATGTTTCAGCCAAGTATGTCTTAAAAATACCCCAAATAATGTGAATGTTACTGCTAAAATTAAATTACTTTATAAACACTGTAAAAAGCAAACTGTGTAACAGTTTCACAGCTTATGACAGCACTTCAGAAAACACTAATGTATTTAACCCGAGACACTGAGTGGCCTGGACCAGTTAGGTATATTTTTTATAATTTTAGACTCTAAGATAAACAGTTCTTTAAGGCAGTAGGACCCCCCCACCTAGCTACACACACACTTTGTCTGCAATTATGTAACGCCATGGAAAAAAATTAAAACCTACAATATTGTCCTTATTACTGTATCTGTTTGGAGATCGCTGGAATTCTTAGCCTTTCTTGCATTAGCTGTTTAAAATTTCAGACAAATTTTTCTCTGGCAAGACTGATTCATTTATAATCTGACAATGAATGAAAGAGACTTCTTTTTTTTTTTTTTTTTTTTTTTTTTTCACAGAAATGGAGGTTAGCAGTATACAGACAATAGATCAAACTATGACTCAAAGAAATGACAGCAGAAGAAATTTGTTACAGGTTCTGATTCCAGGGTGACACTTCCCTTTCCATGGATATGTTCTAGTTCAAGTGATTTATTATACAAAGACCTGCTATGAAGTGTCCCAATTTTGCTTCAGACAACTCTTTAGTGAAGCTGTATACACCTGACCTGTGTTTGCAAAACAGAAGCTTTTTTATGTACATATGATGGCATAATATGAATTGCATACATTGATAAAAGCCTAAATTAGACTAAAGGACTTCTGATTTGCGACTTTCTTAAAGAGGTGAGCATACAGTGCCCTCTAGTGCTTGTTTTCCTTTCCAGCACAGTGGCTGAATTTACGTACTTTAATGCTGTCGTGACGTTTACGTCTAAATGCACTTTTTATTAGAATAAATAAAAGCTATGGTTGCTAATTAAACTAATATCCTTAGTGTCGCTTCTCTCTACACAGCTTTGGCAGTGACTTCTGTGAAAGGCCAGCATTCATGAGACTGCAGAAGCTAGCTGAGAAGCCAGCACACTTTTCATACATGCATGAGGTGGAATTCAGGCTGCCATTCAAGTCAGTGGGAATTTTGTGATGTATTTCATTGGATTTAGGAATCCAGCCACCTTCGATGGACATATCTATGCCTTGTTGTTATATTCCTATTTTCTCTACTTATCAAGGCAGTTTATTACAGTATGCTTAGTTTGGTATCTGTACATCACACCTGTTTTAAGATTTCCAATGTTTCTTGATACATAAGAAGAAACACAGTAACATTTAGGATTAAAGAAACAATGCAATAAAATACAGTATCTTACTTTTCACATTCCATTTTAAAAATGTTTTCATCTAAGATTGTCTCATTGACTTGAATGGAGCTGCTGACACAAAAACTAAATGATCATTGAATTTCCACTTCACATTTTAATTGAAAACTCTCACTGCTTATTTTAAGTACTCCCAAGTCATGCATTGGAGTATAACTTGGTAGTGTGTCTTTGACATCAGTCATTCAATTCTTATATGTGGAATTTACTGTGCCATAAAATTTCTGATTTAAGAGGTGCATTTATTAATATAAGCATGTTAATTATGGTCATTCTTTATGATCACAGCAAACAATTCACAGCTTTCTGCAAACGTATTTCCTGTTCAAAGTGACATTATACTGCCAAAGTTTTAATTTTTATTTAAAAAAAAAAACAAAACAAAACAACCTACCAGTTTATTGAAATATTTTAGAAGAGATACTGCTGTTGTGATACTGTGTTTCATTTTGTAATCCCATCTGCTGCTTAGGCCAGATATGCATTTTCTGGATGCAATCTGTTGGTTTCCAATGGTTTACTACATGGTGGGCTCTATCGACAAGTAGGTGAAATAACTGTTAGAAAACTTAACATTGTAGTGCTCAGTGGTTTGTTCTGTGTATTGTCATTGCATGTTTGTGTTTTGTATTTGAAGATGATCTTTTTGCATGCATGGTTTGTGTCTGTGTGCTATAATTTGGGATTTCAAATTCCTGATTTATGAAGGATGTCATTAGTGAAAAGTATGACAGGGAACACAGGTTAATGTGTTCAAAAACATGAGATTAACATTATTTAGATGCATTAATATGTTTCTACAAATTGCCAGATTATAGCCCTGTCATTCTACATTTATAATTTGTTTGGAGTTACTGACTAGGGTTTTGTAAAGATAGCTACAGATTGTAGACAGTACTAATACTGGCAGTCTTGAATGTGTTCAACAGTCTTCATCTTCCGCTACTTAAAATATCACCTACTCCTACGTTTCTGTCTTCACCTCTGCTAATATATTTCCATATCTAGGTTTGGCAATGTAGATTTAATGTAAAAATCAGGCAGAAAAAAGAGAAGAGCAAGGGTTTATTAGCATGTTAGTAAACTCCTGTGTGTAGAGTGTTAATTTAAAGAAGAAAACAGTTTTCTTCACTGCATAGCTGATTTTGAGTTGGGATTACAAACCCATAATACTCATTCCTCAAAGTAGAAAACAAAAATTTATTTCCTGCCCTGAATGAACAGAATCCAGTTTTTCAGTGAGGATTCTGGAGATTCAGTGTTTCTCCATCTCAACCTCTTGTAACAAGGGCTTTAATACTACTTATAACAGTGATACAGTTACAGATTTACCTTGGTGGTATCATAGTCATTATGAGATTTGCAAAGAACCTACAGAAATGTTTTTCACTTTCTACATTTCTTCCTCTAAACCAAAACAGTGTTTCAGGTTATTAGTATCTACCACTTTCTTAACTCTTAATTCCACAATTATAAAAAGAAGTCATATCAACAGAGTAATTGAATTAATTCAGTGTCCAAATAATTACTATCCCAAAGATGTTTTTATTAATATGGAAAATTAAACTTTAATTAAATTGACTGAGTTTATTTCAAAAAGATTATCACCAAATCCCTCCCTAAAGGTGTTTTGTTGTTTTTAGAACTGAGTGCATAAAAAAAACCCTGTATGGTCTTCGAAATAAACAATTATACAGAATTCTACAGTTTACAGTAGTACTAATAGGAACTTCTGCATCTTTTCTGATAATACAATCACTTTAATTCCTGGTGCAATAACCAGTCAGATTTTGTAGGGTTTTTTTCTGACATCTGTTTTCATCAATAAGAAGACTTTTAAAAACACAGTTCATATTTATTCTGCGTTTTTTCCTAAACATTTTTTTAAGTCATGTACAATTAATAGAAGATAATTTTTAGCTAAGAACTACAATGTAAAATATGCAAAGTTTCCTTTCTTATTTAATAGGTATAGAATACGCTTCCAAAGTGTCACCTACTACCTTTTAAGTATCTAAAATATATGTCATTTGGTCACATGGCATGAAATGTCATCATCTTAGAGAGAAAACTACCGAGGGAAGTATTCTCATTTACCACTCCTTTTTGTTAGAAGTGGATGGCCTGAAGAAAAGTAGCTTCACCAAAATTCACAGCTGGAATGAACTTCATCAAAATATGTCATTAAGTAGCAGAAAACTGTTCTACAGTCTTCAGGTGTAAATGATGTGAGATCTATAACTGAACAGATTTCACAGCTGTGTAGAGATCTATTTAGTATTAAGAAACCTATAGCTAGAAGTACCTGAGAACTATATTAATACTTCTAAATTAGTATTTTTTTTTAAATTCTCCACAAATTAGTTGAATGCAACGGCTAAAGTAAGAATGGCTGTTGAGTTTATGAAACATTGAAATGTAGAAAATCTGGTTATTTGAGAATAGGCTGTATTCAGGGATCAACTGAAAGACTGAAAAAGAAGACACAAATCACTCAGAGAAAGGTTGGAGTTCTGCTTTGCACTAAAATCTGTTAATATAAATCATCTAAAATATAGCCTTTCTTTTTTTGTAGTCAACCACCAGTGATGCTGCACAGTTGCAAAATTAATTATATTATGTATTTGTTTTGGAAGAATACTTATAAGCTGTAAAATAAATACCATAAAATTTGTGGGTTTTTTCCTTATCCAATTTATAATTGGTTATGTAAAGATCATTGCTGAAAAGAAAAACTATATTGGGACAATCAAGACTTAATATAATAGATTGCTAAATGACAAGCAATTATAATGCCAAAACAGCTTTTCGCCTTGGAAGTAAACAGAATGATGCAAAAATTTAGTTTTCCAATTTCCCTTGGAAACCATGGAATTCACCTTTTCTTCTTATTTTCACTTAAAAATTGCTAGGTTCCTAGCAGTCTTTTATCATTACAGAAAAGTCCTTTCTGAACTTTTCAAAAAGTGCTTAGTTTCTGTCAGAAATATTATTGTTAAAACAACGAATATGCTTAATTTTGGAACAAAGCTATAAGTCATAAAGGGAACTCTAGCTCAGTTTTCTGTGTTTTCTATGGTCAGGCCTCACAGGAAACCGTGACTAGCAGAGTGCAAAGTTTTACTGATGTACAGCTGCTCCTAAAACATCATGAGAACCCCCCAACTCACAGATTAACCTATAAGAGGAATGTATGAGATGTCCTGGCAGAATCCTTATTAGCATTTTGAAATTGAAATATAATTGTGGGAAAGAGCAACCCAAGGCATTTATTTTGGTCTGTTTGTTGCCAAAAGTAACTGAAATTAAGCAAGTTTTTGCAGCATGTAAAGACATACTGTCTTCTCATGTAACTGTTAAAGGCTTATTTTAAAAAGTTGAAATAAATTTATCATTTTAGCAAAAGGAGAGGGACTGTGACAACCTACTGAAGTGCACTCTGCATGACTTAAAGGAAGATAATTATTCATATTCTATCAATTAATTGAGATTATATACTTGATATAGATAATATTGGAAGTTGTGATATGTACATGGAGATGAAGGGAACCAGCAACTCAGCCTGTGATCTGAAAATTCCAACCATCCCAAATCTTTTAAGTTTTCCATCTTTAAGTTGCTTGTTTCTTTCTCCCTCTTTCTCTTCACAAAAGCCTAGATGACTTATTAAGATGTGGGGTCACCTTTGCAGCTAATATGGTGGTGGTCGACAAAGAAAGTACAATGAGTGCTGAAGAAGACTACATGGCAGATGCTAAGACTATTGTAAATGTTCAAACACTCTTTAGGTAAGGCATTTTTGCAATCCGTCTATACATCCTCATTAATTGTAAAATACTTTATGCCTTTTGTACTCAGGTAAGAAATGATCTTGTTTATTTCTTCTGTTTAAGTTTTCCCTCATATGAAATTGTGTCTTATATGGGCAAACTTTTTCCCAACCTGCTTATCAGTACGCTCAGAATCCTAAGGTATTCTGAAATCTCAGATGAAAATCTTTGCATCTCAAAACTGGGTGATCATTTTAAAAGTCAACTGTCAGGTTTGCAAGAAGGAAAATAAAGCTGTTCTTGGAGACTTAGGATCAGAGATAGTTGAGAAAATATTTTTTTTCTCAGTGTGGCAGTCATACACAGTAAAGGTAAAGCCAGTATGAAAAGCAGATCCATCTAATGCTAAAAGGTGCATCACTGTGAAGTTAATAGTAAGTGTTCACATTTTGAATATTTAGTTTTGAACAAAATTTAGGCTTTTAGGCACTTGTATGCAACATTACATATGAGAACAACTGAGTCATGAAGGAATAACTGAATACAGGGAAAAAAAATGATCAGTCTAATAAAGAGGCTGAGAAGACTGTGATGAAGAGCTAATCACCCTATTTCTTGTTCCTCTCCTGAATAAAGCCTCACTTCATTGACTGAAGATATTTAACACAAGTACCAAAAAGATACATGTCCCTTTAAACTGTGGAAAAGTTCTTCTGTGCTTAGAAAAAAAAAAAAAAAAAAAAATTCAAAATGCAAAAACACCCTCCCCCCAAAACAAAACATACCACACATAAAATATGAAATGTCTCCCTGATCTGGGGCTTAAGTCTAGCACTTCCTGTTGTTCATTCTAATAAAACTAGGGCAAAATTATATCCTTCCCTAGAGGTTTCAGTATCATTCAATATTGCTTCCCTTTTCTGTGTCAAGCCTTCCACATAAGATGCACAGTAAAAGTCTTTTGAATATGTCAGTGTTTTAGAAAACTGAGCTCACTAAAACACAAGTATTTTCAATGAAGATTTTTTTTTTTAATGCAGCTGTGTGTGAGAATGTAGTTAAATGCTGTCGGTATTTCTTCATGTGCTCAAAAGAAGCATAATTTACGTTGCATGAGAAATTGTAGTTCTGTCTTTTTCTAACTTTGAATTTGTACCTGATACCAGCACAGGTGTGCATGTTTCATAATCACACCTAAATTTAATTTAGAAACTATAATTGAACTTAATCTGTGCATCATTCAAGTTTGTTCTTAACCATATTGTGCTAGGGTATGACATACATCATATGAATTTTTCAGAAACATTTTTACCCCCAAATATAAAATAGAAAAATACTAAATAAAAAAATGAAACTTACCAAGTACCAGATGATTTTTCTTGTAGTTGTGTTCTACTTTGTAAAATACTGAAGAAAAAAAAAAAAAAATCACAGTAGCTTACTATGTACCATAGGTATCCAGCTAGAACTTGCTATATAATCATTTGGTTGTCTTGCACAATGCTTACAACTAGATGGCAGTTTTAACTCATGTATGAACTATATATCTGGTTTCATATAATTTTAAGACTACACAGTACTTTCACAAATATTGAAATTAGAACAAATATCTGTGTTTAAGACTTAACAATACTTTTTCAGAAAACTTTGTAAACTTTTACAAGTAGTGTACTGTATGATTTTTTCCCAATTTTTTTCCATAGAATACGTACAATAGTTTAACTTCATTTTTATATCATATAAAAGTTGTAGAAATAATGTCAGCTTTGGGAAGAGGCATAATGTAGTGGCATTTAGCTGTTCTACAGAATAAACTGCATTCATTGCACCAAGGTAAATAGTTTTGTGAATGGACTTTAAAAATATGTTTAAAGGCCTTTTTGTTACTTAATAATAGCTAATAATATCAGAAACTAGTGATGAAAAGGCTAGATATGGTGGAGAACAATAGCATTAACACAAACTGTAATGTTAAAGAAGGATTTTAAACCACTGGAGTTTTGCTAACATCAACGAAGAACATTCCTCTTAGGTCTCACAAAGTGAAACATTCAGAAGATAGAGGCTAATCTAAACCTCACTGATTTGATTGACTCAGATCAGCTGACCTCATTAAGGTTCTGGACGGGCCTAAAAAGGTGATGTAAGTGCGCCGCAATACTGTTTGGCCTAGATTAACAGGTCTCATATACCTGTTCTGACATTACATAAATTGATAATTAATAATATTGCTTTGCCAGAAGAATGTGTCCCCCACACACCTTAGAAGACAGATGTATTTTTTTATAACAACAGGGTTATTAGCACCTTTAAGGCTAGAAACTCGTCCATACCAATTAAAGCTGTGATACGACACTAGTTTATCTTACTTAAAAGGAGTAAAGTGTGACTCAAATGGTCACACTGACTAAGAAACTAAATCTTTAATCCTTTGAATGGGAAAGAACAAGTTAGCATAGCTTAAAAGTACAAGGAGAAAATACTAGTTTTGGACTGTGTCCTAGAGAAGCTTTTCACTTTTTAATGTGAAATATGAAGCCAACCACTGAGTCTCTATTGACAGTTATGAGTCCACCAGAGAAAAATAGTGGGTTTCCTCAGGCAGTAGGTCTGTACTAGAAGTGGTGTTTATATTTATTCTTGCTTTCTATTAATTAATGGGTTTACATGTTGGTGTTTGGGAGGCCCTGTTTTTAAGTTTTTATTAGCTAACGTCTTGAAGGTTATGTTTCAAATACTGCAAGAAGCCTACTGACAACAGTACACCTAAAAAGTCAATAGTATGGCTGCTATCTAGCACCAATTTATAGATAAACCAAATGAGATGTTAAAATGGCATTACACTGGGGTTTTTTTTGGTTCAAAAAAGCACTAAATGTATCTCTTGCTTGTCTGATTCCCAAATGCCAATTCAACAGCAACCCATGTCTTCCACCAAGCTGATTAGGGATTTTTTCACCCCATCCACTCTTTTTTTACCAGAATGGGATGGGATAGAAAAGAGGGATCTTTGCACAGAAATATCCTGCTCCAGTGCTGAAAGCTTGTGGGCAATGTGCCTTACACCCTGGGCAGAGGCCCTGACCACCTGGAAGGTCATTTCCCTTAATTCTGCTAAAAGACATACCCATCATCATATGTTTGGGATCATGTGATCATTACCGGTCTACGTTTTGGCATGAACAGACCTAGGAAACTGTATTGCAATAATATGGCTTTAATATATACTGGCAGACAGTTTTGACATACGTTCCCCACATTTAGGCTCTGCTTGAATTGTCATTTCAGTGAAGTTCCTCCCTACTAAAATGAGGGAAAAAGACTAAAGACTTGCAAATGGGTACACTGGATTCCATTTGACACTAACTTACTAAATGCAGCTTTCAAGAAAACCACTTTAATTTTTCTCTGAATAAAACAGAAGTCACACACATTAATGATGTCACTAGTACTACAGTTATCTATTGTCATATGTAGATAAGTACTTTCACGATCAGCAGAACAGATTATGAATGCACCTCTTATTTTCTGAGACTAATCTTTAGAGGAAATAAATAATAGTTGTGTTCTATTCCAAGTTGTTTACTATTTGCATAGCATAAACTACACATTTATTTCTAGTTTTTAGAGCCCTGAGGTCTGGGAAGGGGCTCTTTAGTCTGCTTCATGAAAATCCGTGTAATTCAGCCAGATCAGAGTTAAACTTTCTTCATTGTTCTTTGTTATTGGAAACCTGAATTAGTGTTAACTTATAAAAATTCTGTATATGTAAATATCTCAAAGTGAAAATATAAGTAAACATAAGCATACATTTTCTCAGCAACCCACAAGAAGTGTTAATTTTCATCTATGTTGCTCATTCTGTGTACACAGAGCATACAAATAGAATGCAAAAAAAAAAAAAAAAAAAAAAAAAAAAAAATAAAATGTAGTTTACATGCAACCACATACTAAGTGTGGGCTATATAGTTTTGCATTTTTCATTGATTCCTACAGATCTGTGTCATTTTAGAAATTATTAAATAAAATCTCTGGTAATGAAATTAAGTGGTTCCTTTCCAGATTTAAAATATTTTATAAGCCTAACCTTTGAATGTGTGTTCGCTTATTTGTGAATTCTACAAAGAATGTTCTACAGTTTCCTCTGCTATTATACCAGCATTTCATTGTGCCAAAAAACACCGCAGGTTTCAGGCACTTCATTAAAAACTTGGACATGAACACAAGCTAAAGCATTATGTAGAGCCTTACATTTGTGAATTGTTATAATTAGAGGTCTAACTGTTACATTCTTTTAAAATACAGGTTGTTCTCAAGCCTAAGCATTATCACAGAACTAACTCACCCAGCCAATATGAGATTCATGCAGTTCAGAGCCAAAGACTGCTATTCTCTTGCTCTATCCAAATTAGAAAAGGTAAGGAGATTTGCCTCCCCCATCCCAAATTTAAATGTTATCATTTTAACCCTTTTTCTGATTTTATAACAATGCTTTCAAAACAAGTGGAAACAGTGAAATTATTTTATGTTTGCAGAGCTAATGTAAAAGATTATTTTTTCCACATTCTACCCTCATTTAATAATGAACTTTAAGTTCCATCACTTTACAATATAATATTAATCCACCAACACCACCTGGACAGAAGTGTTGCTCAGGGAGAACTGGATAATTTGGATAACTGAATATTTAGAGCTAATACGGTGCTGCCACAGGCAATTAATGTGGAAAATATTTTCATTGAATAAACACTTAAAATATTTAAAGCTTTTATTATAATAATTTTTTTTTATCCCAATTCACTTCAAAGGAACTATACTTACATATTCCATATACATTTCCATGTATCTGTGTGGGGTATTTGCATTACTGTGATAGTTTGGGAACAGCAACTGTTAGTACCACTATTTAAATGCTAGATAAAACCTTCATATTCTATACATTCTAGTGCTTGTGTTGGCATTTTCAAGCCATGGAACAGGGAGGCTATATGGAGAGATGTTTAATTTAATTTGCTTGTCCAAAATACTGTTGATAAAACATTAGACAGGGCATAAAAAGTAACACTATGCATCTGTTGAACTTGGTAAACTCAAGGACAATCCTCTTTTTCTTGGACCTTTGTTGGTGATCTGACCTACCTACCTCTGCAGTCCACAAAACTTACAGTATTATGTTCATGATCCTTTCGGCCATTTTCTGAGTTTATGAGAGTAAGACAAATAATATCACTGTGCCAGGCTTCAAGGACAGACACCTTTCACTCCAGTCATCTATTTTTCCCCTTGCTGTCAATCTAGACATTACTGCTAGGTTCTCTCACGTAGCCTCCCAGTTTGTTCATCTCAGATATCTTGCACATCTTAGAAAATCTGAATTCGTGCTAAAATCTTTATATAGAATTAGCATATAATTTCCATTTCCGAGCTGTATGGTAAATTTCCTAGATTTGGGGGATTACAGATATCTCAGACAAAGAGTGGATTGAGAGTGGCCCTGTGGAGGACCTGGGGGTACTGGTGCATGGAAAACTGACTGCGAGTGCGCTCGCAGCCCAGAAAGCCAACAGTATCCAGGGGTGCATCAAGAGAAGTGTGGCCAGCAGGTCGAGGGTGAGGATTCTCCCCCTCTGCTCCACTCTTGTGAGACCCCACCTGCTAGACCTGTATCCAGCTCTGGGGGCACCAACACTAGAAGGACATGGACCTGCTCAAGTGGGTCCAGGGAAGGCCACGAGGATGATTGGGGGCTGGAGCACCTCCCCTGTGAGGACAGGCTGAGAGAGTTGGGGTTGTTCAGCCTGGAGAAGAGAAGGCTCTGGGGAGACTTGCTAGCGGCCTTCCAGTGCTTAAAGGGGGTACAGGAAAGGTGGGGAGGGATTCTTGATCAGGGGGTGTAGGGATAGGAGGGGTAACTGTAAAACTAAAAGAGGGTAAATTTAGATTAGATCTAAGGAAGAAAGTCTTCCCTGTGAGGGTGGTGAGGCACTGGCACAGGTTGCCCAGAGCAGCTGTGGCTGCCCCCTCCCTGGCAGTGTTCAAGGCCAGGTTGGACGGGGCTTTGAGCAACCTGGGCTGGTGGGAGGTGTCCCTGCCTATGGCAGGGGGGTTGGGACTAGACAGTCTTTAAGGGCCTTTCCAACCCAAAACATTCTATCATATGATTCTATGATATTTCAGATATTTCACTATTTACTGTATAGTGTGTTCAGATAGATAATTTTAATATATATTTGATAGAAGCCTTTTCATACAAACTTATCTTTACAAGCCAGCTCCCAGTTTCTTAGACAAGAATCAAATTTTGCAAAAATTCAGCCTGTCTCTGAGGTAGGATAAGTATTGGAAGTCAATCATTTCTCAGTTGACTATCATGCTTATATTTCAACCACAAGATGTAAATTTCTGGATGATCTTTTGTGATGTTGATCTTTGCCTGAAATAGAATGAAGGCTTAATCTTATTTAGGTTTTTCTCCATTTAAAATGGACAACTGTGAGAAAGTGAGACAAATGCTGTTACACAAAGAGAGGAGCAATCTGCAGTGGGAGGCAGATATTCATTTGGATCATATTACTCCGACTATCCATTAAAGTTTGTACCTGTGGTTCCTTCATTTTAGCACTCCCTCCCCTCAGTGGTAACCTCAGGTATAATTACCTGGAACTGGCTGGAATAATGCATTGCCAGTTTATTCAGGGCAACAAGTGCCAGCAGCTGGATGGTGCTTTCAAGACTGTGTTCCAACCTAACTTAGTTCCTTGGTGTATTATTGCCAACCACACTTTTTTTTTAAATTGTTAACATATTCCCTGAATCCATCCATACAGTTTAGTGGTAAGGGGAAGTAAGAATAGTAACAGCTTTCCCAGTATGTGGTGTCTACAGCTGCTTCTGGAATACTTGGGGGTGGAATACTCCATGGGCTGTAGCCTGTCTACTTCAATGCAGTGAAACCAGGATTTTATCTCAGTTCTATTTCATGCTTTACACAGGCTCCGTCATTTTTCTGGCAAATGTTCTGGAAATCAATAGAAATATAATAACTTCTTACTTATATTTATTAAGTTATTGAGCAAATGTAAAATTGTGAATATAGGCTGGCAGCTGAACAGTTAAATAACTTCCTATAAAAATTATGCTGTGCTGTAATAGAGGTAGATAAATTATCTTAAAGAAAGAACATTTTCTTCATTGCTGTTGAATTTGCCTGCTGTTGACTTTTCCTTCAATTCTTCTTAACATTTGCAGGGAGCACTTCACAGGTGGTGCTGTAGTTCATTTGATGTTTCAGAACTCCCTCATGCAAAATGAAAGGCAATTAAAAACGAGTAAAAATTATCTAATGCAGTCAAATGTACAGTTTATTGTTATTTCTGCATTAAGCACCTCCATTTTCAGAAAGACTAAAAAAGTCAGGCAAGTTGCCCTCAGGTAGCACTGAAACACACATGCGAAATCGACTTTTCAAACTAATGGGCCGCAGAAGAAAGATATGCAAATCCAAAGTCCATCTGCTGTTGCAGCTGCAACTTTCCTCATTTTAGAGATAAATCTGAACACCAAACTCAGCACTGACAAGAAAGCAATGGCCCTTATACAACAGAGAGATAGAAAAACAAAACACCCGTCGTCTAAACTTAAAACTTATGTTCTCCATTTGTCTTAGATAAGAAAAAAAAAGAGGTAACCACTCCCTCTTTCTTGAAAAAAAGTGTTTAGAATGTCTTGGATAAGATTCACACTGGTTTAGTATGACTTTTTTTTTTTTTTTTTTTTTTTTAAATTTTTCAAGTAAATATTGCAGGTGTGAACTGAATGATATAAATTCTAAACATTTAACTGATCATTTTAGAATATGTGCAAACACCTATATCTTTTAATCAAATCTATACTGTGATTTTGTATCTTTCAACATACATGCGAGGTGAGCGGAAATCTATCTGGTATGACCCAGTATATTTGCAATGATATACACAAAGCCAGACTGCTTTTTTCACCTTCAATTAAAGATAGGGCATTGCTGTATCCATTTGTTTTTAATATTATTGAGGTTTTAAGCAGATGTGAAGTAACATTAAGTAATAGCAAACAATAATGATACATGAGTTATAAAAAAAAGATTGGTACCTCTTAACTGGTTTAAGTAATATTTTAGATGTATTTCTAGTGATTTACATCATCTACAATTCTAAAAGCATGTAATTAGCATACACATTTGGCTCTTGAACTGGCACATTTTTAGAAAGCCTTTTCCAGATAACCACAGAAAACTAACAAAAAGGTAGAACAGTAAGCAATTGAGAACACATAGTCCAGGATATTGTAAACTGATATAAGAGTGAAGTGCTATCAATCCAAAATCCCTTATGTCCAGAAAAAGACTGTACACAGGTTTCCACACCCAGATTTCTGCTGAGCCTTATATCTGACGTGGGCAACAACCAACATTTAGCAAAAATAACATGGCCTAACTGTTTCCTATAGTAAACCACTACCTCTGTCACCTTTATATGTTCTTGCATGACTCCCATCCCCTGCCCTCCACCCATCCTTCTATGTTAATTAAAGCAACTTACATTGTTTGTACACAACAGTTTCAGCCTATCATGGCAGTTCGCATATTACTATCCGTATCAGATGAGAATATATTAAATCAAGATGGACCCTAGATCTCATTTCAACCACTGACAGAGGGGCCAAAACAGGGCTTCAGGTTAGTTTGAGGTTCGTACTTTGTTACTGGTATCATAGGATTAACGGTTATGAAGGAGTAAGCATTTATTTAGAAATAATAAAAAGATAAAACCATGATAAAGAACCCTGAAAAGGGTTTGACACAAATATAAATGAAGGTAGAAAAGAGGGAACTTGACCTTCTGGGCAGATATTCTTTGGTATTCTGACAATATGCAAACCAAAAAGGAAATAATTAACTTCAAATTAAATGGCCAATATGGAGGAAGCACATGCTAAGAACTTCTCAAAACCACAAGTGTACACATGTTATTACTTTGAAAGAAAGCAGTAATAACTCTGAGCTTCATGACTTGAGCAAAGCCACAAACATAGGAAGACTGAAGATGAAGTAAAGATCTCCATCCATTAAATAGCTGTGTCTTAAAATGTCATACTTATATTTGAAGTTCTATAGGACGCACTCATGCCATGATCTTTTATTTATGTTCCTAGAAATGATCTATGATTTTAAGTAGATATATCCCCTTCCTCATTAATTCCAAAAAATGTCAGGAGCTGCTGGGCATCACACTTACAGTGAAGTAAAACTGCAGGGACATTCTGGCACATTACTAGCTTCTGCATCCATAGTAATCTCTGGGAATTGAATAAGTCTTCAGGTAATAAAGCACAACTCAATACATTGGATTTCTCACAAATCCTTTTCAAGCAATAATAAAGAAAAAGCAAGCTTGTAGTAAGAGATGGGAGGAAACAATGTAAGAAATGTAAAATAAAGGAGGAAAATAAATTTCTAAGCTTCCATTTTAAAATAAAACAAATAGGAACATACTTATGTTTACCATCAGAATTTTGGATAAGAATCAAATTATTCCCAAAATACCTCTTGCCTTAGCCCACCTTTCTCAGCACAAAAACAGAATCTGCTGCAAATTTCTCTAAACAGATGGAAGGATAAACATACCTGCATCACATGATAGGAGGTTAGTCACTTCACAGCCAGTTCCCTATAAAATACTTTATGGCATGATTCATAAGGGATTTCATGTAACGTGTGTTCTAATATGCATGCAGTGTTAATCTTGAAGTATTTTTTGTAAAATAAATTTTACAGCTTTTTCCATATTTCACACACAAGTTTTTATTTTCTTAATAGCAATTTAAGAAACATATCTTCTACTTTGTCTTACTGCACTAAAAGAAAAGCAGTCGAATATATGAGATCAAACTACAAAAGAAATACATAAGTGCTTGTTTCTGTGCCTTATGCTAGTAAGCACAATGGTATGCTTATCTAGGTAAAAGTGTTCTTTGTACAATTAGACCACTTTTTTCTTCAGCTTTCAGAAGTGCATGCGTGTGTGTGCCTATGTGTGTGAGAGAGTGTGCGTACCTGAATGTATGCATTTCTCATGAAGAAGAAACTCTAATACGAGCCAGTAGTATTTGGTCAGAACACAGAGAATGTTTGGAATAAAAACCCCCTGAAATAATAACTAAATTTTATTTCCTTAAAAATTTTTTAAAGAAGATTTTTGTCTGGAGAGAAAATTCATTTTGTGTGACAACTTTCTCAACTCCACTCATATGAAGCCACAGAAATCAACAGGTACAACCAGACAGGTACAATCCAATGACAAACAGGGATTAGAAGCTGCTGTTCAACAGAACCAATAGAGCAGACTGCTGATTTGCAAATCACAGAAGCAGAGCACGGTTAGCACTGGAAGGGACATCTGGAGGTCATCTTGCCTAAGGCCCCTGCTCAGGCAGGGCGCCCTAGAGCCAGTTGCCCAGGATAATGTCCAGAGGACTTTTATCTCCAAAGAGGGAGACTCCACAACCTCCCTGGACAATCTGTGCCAGTGCTCAATACTCTCACTGTAAAAATGTGTTTCCTGACATTCAGAAGGAACTGACTGTGTTTCAGCTGTTGCCCATTGCCTCCTGTCCTGTTCCCTATGCATCACTGAAAAGGGCCTGATCTCCAGGCGAAACAGTCCCAGTTCTCTCTCAGTCTTTCCTTGCACGAGAGATGGTCCAGTTTCTTGATCATCATAGTGGAGTTTTTCTGGACTACCAATGGTAGCTCCATCTCACCTTGTACTATGGATCCTAGAACTGGACACAGCACTTCAGGTGTGGTCTTACTAGTGCTGAGTAGTGGGAAAGGATCGCCTCCCTCCTCCTGCTGGCAGCTCTCCTCCTAATGCAGCCCCGGACACCTTTCACATTCTTTGCCACAGGGGTACATTGCTGGCTCATGTTCGCTTGGTGTCCACCAGGACCCTCAGACTCTTTTCTGCTGAGCTGCTTGTTCACCAGTGAGTCCCCAGCGTGTAGTACTGCGTATATGTGGTGGATGTGTCTCAGTTCCAAGACATGTAACATTTCTGTACTTTGAGAGCACACTCTATTCTTCATGGCGTCTCTGAACTTAAAATTTGATATTTCTTGTTTTCTTAAAATAAACAACAATGAAAAAATCACCTCCACCTGTTATTATGCTTTCTGATAAGAGAAGGAATGGGAAGCACATTGTGGTGTGATTCCTCTGCAATGAGATGTGATAAGTAAAAGGCATAACTATAGTTACATTTTTCTGCATCCCTTCCCCAGAAGCATCAGAGCAAGAAGTTTCTACTCAGTCCATCTCTGATCTCACATCATCACATTCACTGAAATACCATTTCTTCCCTTTTGCATCAGATTCTGTTCATGTTTCATGTTCCTGTTCCTAGTAGACTTTCTGGACCTGAATGAGAGTCCACTGGCAGCACCAAGGAATTGGAGCAGGAATAACAAGAGCTTTGCTCTAAGCACAGTTGAAATCCCTCAGTCATTTTAAAAATGATCTGGTAGACTATGCTCATGCAATTTGAGATGAGATGATTGAAACAACACATGCATTAAACAATCTTTCAACCTGAAAAACTGTAAGTACAGAACAAAGATGCTACATATTTGTAGAAAGAATATTCAGAGTAAAGGGATTTTATACTTTTGACCTCTTTCAAGGTAATCTCAATGATGTTTTGATTATAGTCCTTCCAAAAACAACACTAAACTATTTTCTGTTTTTTAATTCCTTAACAGAAAGAGCGAGAGAAGGGATCTAATCTGGCATTTATGTTTCGGCTGCCTTTTGCTGCTGGCAGGGTTTTCAGCATCAGTATGTTGGATACGCTGCTTTATCAGGTACTATAAACAATAATGTGACTTATATTAACACAGACATGCATTGTTACCAGCCATTTTATTGTACTTGTTACATGACACTGTTTTCCCACATCTAAGCCATTAATGTGTGTATCTGTACCAGGAACAATCAAAGGCAAAAGATGATGGAGCATATTCCACATGACAGTAGTACCTCAGTTATCAACCCCAAAATCATGCTGTCCTTGCAGAAAAAATTCTGGTTTTAAACAATATAATACTGTCTGTGAACCTCTCCACAGTCAAATATGTGGGATAGTTTTGATAAGGCCTACATAAAATACAGACTTGCACTCTGCAACAAAAGGGCAGTACCTATTCTCACAAAGTAGTGTCTCTAACCATGAAAATCAAGAGAATTACTTTTATGAGTAATTTATCAGTCATCTGCATTTCCTGATAGAGGCCTTAATTACTTCATTGCATCCTTTCCTCTTACTCATGTTGACTAGACCTCTAGATGACCCATCATCATATCTTAAAGTAATGCACTCTGGCCCTAATAAGAAATATATGCAGTGGCTACAAAGAGACACAGAGGAAAAAAGAGGAAGCACTGAACCTTGTTGCCCAAGAATCCAGGACAGAGCTCCTCATGCAAAAAAAAAAACCAAACCAAAACTATAACAGTCTGTGGGGGTAAAAGAAGAGCAACAGCCTCAGATGGTTGAAGGAAAAATATATCAGAAAATATGGGGTCAGGACAAATATGGGTAGTAGCTGCTGGTTTCAGGGTGGAAAAAGAAGAGAATATTGACCTTGCTTCTCAGCAATGACCACGTTTCTGCATACCCTGATAACATCAGGATGCCGAAACAGCAGCCCCCAGCATTAGCCTTCAAGATCTAGCTATGCAGAAGTGGCAACACGACCATGGCCCATGTAGTCTCCTCAACTAAGCAGCTACTTACCTACTCTGCCTATATCATGTGGATGCTTTTGTATTCAGGCACTAAACATTCTTTCAGAGAAATGAGTTTACTTGGTAATTTGGTGCATTGAAAGTGCTCTTTCATCTCAATTCTACTTCCAAATAAATTCCCTCAAGGCAAACTCAAACATAAACAGGACAATTCCTGGAACTAAGCTTTTCTCAAAGAGTCATTAATATATAAACCAGTCATGTAAATGGAAAGTACCAAAAGCACAAAAGCCAGCAGATGTAAAGCTATTTATCAAATTTTAGATGTTTTAGAAGGAAATGTATTTATAAAATATTTTTAATGATGTCCCAGAATTTCAACATCACACATGGCAATATTTTTTAAAAAAGATTAAGACACTTATATGGAATTAGATCTGTCATCATCAACAACTCCTGCCAGCACATACGTAACTTCAATATTTTATATTTGCTTCTACACATAATCAGTTATTCTGTGACCTGACAGAGCAAAACCATTCACTAGAAAGTGTTTAAGACAAAAAGCCCTCCCACACTCATTCTTACTCAAATTCCACCTGTTCTTTCTTTGAACTCTTACTAATCAGGTAAACTGTAATTTTTCTAGAATTACCCTTCTTATTCTAAGTTACAAATACTACGATGACAAGTTCTCTCTGTTGTTTTTTTTTTTTTTTCATGGTCCCATCCTTTTCTGTATGACATCTTTTTCATCTGCATACAAGGAGCAGAGTAAATGACATGGGAAACAGCAGAGTTCATCTGGTGCTTCCTATTTTAGGTCAAAAGAAAAACCTCTGAATTATCTTTAGGACACTGACTGAAAAATGAAAACTTGGTCTAGCAAATCCTTGTGAATACACTTGATAATTTAATAATTCCATATCATAAATGATGCAGCCAAGATAACAAATAAGTGAATGTTACAAGATGCTCATCAATGTCAACAATTGGAAGATTACTAGTAAAAGAATTAAAACAGTTGAATCACTATGTATCAAACTAAACCTGTCTAGCTTCTGAGTTTAAACATATGCTATAACTCTAACTCTAAGGGATTTATATAACACCTTTGTAAGATATTTGTTTATTAAAACCTATCTTTACGTTTGTATTAAGCCAGAAGAGCTAATTGCAAGTTATGTTCCAACAAGGATTGATAGCCTGCCTTGAATGCTGCCCTACTACCTCAGAAGAGGTGGCAGTGAACAGTCCTACCACAGGTAGTAGAACAGCCACATGGCCCTCTGATTCCAGCAGCCCAGCTCATAAGGAGGAGAAATACTTTTGATTTTAGCTGATTGAATGTCTGTTCCCAGTATTAGCCTACACTTCTACATTTAGCATAATTTCTACCTTTTAACCAATCAGCAAAATACTTCTGTTAGCGGAGCAACAAGCCAGACCTGAGATAAGGCAGATCAACCCTTAAAAAAATAGATAGAATTGCAAAGGCAAATTACTCATTTCAATTAAAATAATATCACTCTCACAATAGTATTACCCACTACTCAGTACTGCAGACCCATCTAACATACAACAGCATTTCTTTGGCACAGAAGAGTTCATATTTATAATCTCACATCTAATCAGGCTAACACCTTACTTCTTACTTACATCTACATTAATCTTTGATTTCATGGTGCCTTATTATGCCTTAGACTCTCGGAATTCTGTATGTACCTTGCATGCATAACCAAATAAGAACAAGTATTTTATCTAAGTAGAGTCATCACAAAGAAAGGAATAGCTATTTCTACAGCGATGAAGGTACTTAAAAGATAAAATGATGTAAATACAGATGCACAATTTCTTTGAAATTCACACATGGTGCTAATGGTTACCTGCTCATCTGTTCATTAAATCTTTTTTCTTTCTTTTCCATCTCTCCTGTTAAAAATCTTGCAGTCATTTGTGAAAGATTATATGATTTCTATCACAAGACTTCTGCTGGGACTTGATACCACACCAGGATCTGGGTTTCTCTGTTCTGTAAGTTTTTTTAAAAAAACAAACAAACAAAAAAAACCCACCCCTGAGTTATTACTGAGTAGCAGAGAAGATTCTGTACTGTCTCCAAAATACCTCTAATTTCTTTGTATGGCACTTTCTTTCGTGAAAGTCCAAGAAAAGCCATCTGTTTTCTTCTTCACCAGGGGAGAAGACAAGAAAATCAGACAGAAAACATACCCATTTTTAGTTACTTCCATAGGAAAATACACACCCCATGGCCTCCCCCCAGTAAAAACCAATACATTCTATAAAACACAAAAATAGGAAAGATAGGAAGACACAGGAAAAATGTATTTTTTAATGAAACAGCAATGGCAGTTCAAGAGGAAGTTTGAAAAATTAATCATGTAAAAACCAGTGAGCACTACCTATATTGTACTGCCTGGCTAGCACTTACACACAATGCTATTTCACAACATCCGTTTCCATCATAGCCAATAATGGGCAGAACCCGATTTTACATAAAGATAAGATTACTTTAGTTCAGGTGCCAAAGTTCAGAAGTCGTCTTTATGTATGGCAGTATTCCCCAATGCAGAGTTTTATTTTTTTATATCTACTTTTTATATGAATATATACACACACATATAGAAAATAAAACCATAAAATTTTATTTTTTATTAAAAATAAAACCCACTTTTCTGTTTTCTTCCGCACCCTTCACACCCTAGGTGACAAAAAGATCAATAGAAGTTATTTACCAGTTGCTTCCTGGGGCACTGTAAAGAATTGCATGTTGTTTTAAAAAAGGACATTAATACCACTGGCTTACGGAAGTTATTTAAATATTGTGAAAACCAATTATGGCTTTGTTCGTCAATTGTTAAGCTTTGTTACAGTGAATGCAAGACAGCTGATTCTCAGAAAAGGGGCTCACATATCTTGAAATAATGCTAGTGTAATAGTAATGAAATACTTGAGATAAATTCATGTCTTTCTTATGCTATTTCTGCTTAGTATATTACTTTCCCCCGATCCTTTCTTCCCAGACATTCAGCCTGCAGTGAATGGTTATTTGACTGCATTCAGAAAACTCACTCATTCTTCACTCTATTTATCAGCAGTTTCTTACTGCTCTCAATATTTAGTTTATTCTTTCATATTTTTATTTTAATTTTTGTATTTGAGTCAGATATGAACACTAGGTAAAGGATATAAGTTTTAAAGTAATTTTAAACAAGAAGAAAAGTAGTTTCCCAAGACTGAACCATTTGCACTGTCTCCCAAACAGGGAGAGAACAAAAAAACGTGTCTACAAACTCATCAGATTCCAGATTTGGAGCAAAGGTGCAATACTACAATATGATCATTACAAGCTAGTGCTTAGATTAAAATTTTTTCAAGATTAGTGTAGTGAACAAGTGATAAGCCCTCACAAGTTAAAAATCCTCCTTCCTATTATTATTTGTTCAGATGAAAATCACAGAAGAGGATCTGTGGATTAGGACATATGCCAGACTATATCAGAAACTTTGTTCTTCTACGGGAGACATTCCGATTGGAGTTTATAGGACAGAATCACAAAAGCTTACAACATCCGAGGTATGTCGGTTTACTATACTTTCCTCTGGATTTGATTACAGAGTATACAACATTCTTTGGTCCTTGCAAGAATAGGAGATGCTTATTTAAAGAATATTGTGAATGCCATATCTGCAAATGCACAGAATTCCAGTAGAGCACTGAAGGTCTCCCTCTGCTGACATGCATATAGTCACATTAACTCAGGGCTCACATTCAGCTCCAGACTTCTTGAATACTTAGAGCCAGTCTACATACTGACTTTAATTCCTCTGCTTGCCTACAGAGAACTGACTGACTGAAAACAAGAAGCAGCTCAGGCACAAATAGGATAGGCTAGGATCGGTAGCTCTAGTCTGAACTTGCACGTGGTGGCTAATGGCAGTATCGATAGCAAGCTGTATGACCAGGTCCTGTGTCAGGTGTGACATGAATGTCAAGACCATACTTCAAAACAGGTGGCATTTCAGTATTCATGTGAATTTCTAACTAGAAATGAGCAACAAGAGAATAAATCAGTGTTATTAAAAGTATTGTAGGATTTCTCCGAATTTAGCTGCCAAACAGTGGTAGTTTTTCTAAATATGTATTTATGTCAGCCATATAAATGTATATACCTCTCCCTATACCTATTAAAAGAATGAAAAAAATACTTTCCTGACTATTTAACACACAATTTTTTGTTTGTGCAGTTTTTATTTCTGTCATGTATAAGCCATTTCTTTATATGACCATTAATATTGCCATCTCATTAAACCATGGCTCAAATACCGAACTAAATTGTAACAGTGAACAACTTTCTCCTTTTTTTGGAAATAGTTGGATATAGTTTACTGATTTCCAAGACAGACAATTTTTATTTTCTCTTCCATATTTCAGAGAAATGTTATAAAACATAAAGGCATATAATGCTTAACTGCAAAACTTACCTTGAAAGAGGTACAAGCATTCAGTTGAAGTTAATTTAAAAAGGGATACACAAAGCTATGCAAGATTCCACCAAGTTCACCAGTGTTTCTCTTTGTGGACCACCAGTACTTCTACAGATGGCTTTTACAGTTTAGCCAGTGGACTGTGCCTCTGCGGTAATGTCAGTTGATTTTTTTAAATATAGCAGCATTAACATAATCCATCAAAATCATTGCTTGGAGAAGAGTATAGGCAGCGTCACTGCTAATATGAAAAAAGGCTGTCATAGCTTTTAACAAAAAAGAGGAGATGCCAGATTTTAAGAATTCATTAAATAAGGGTAAGTAAGGTAAAATTCATGGCAATTCTTTATTCTCACATTCACAGCTGACTAATCTTCAGGTCCATAAAAGAGAATCAAGCAGCATTGCCTGTGAACGTACAACATATTGTGAAGAGTGCATTTCTGTGGCATGGTTTTTTCCTTTCTGAATTTTCACATACTTTCAAACATATAGGCTGACTGGCAAACAGTGTTTGTACAGGGGAGGGTTAACTATAAGAATAACACTCACCTTTTCTATATGAACTTTTTTTTTTTTTTTTTTTTTTTGGCAAGGGGTGGGGGGCAAGCAAGCTTAACTGATAAACTACAGATCTTTCAAAAGTTTTTCTGAAAGCAAGGCTTGGGACCGTCAGCCATACAACTCTAAACTCACAATTTTACCATAACATTGGGAACCTCTGGAACATGTACACATGCAGCTGCTCAGGTGCTTGAACACTTGATCAGACCAGGCCCAGATTTAATTTAAGATAGTTATTATCTTTTACAAAGAAGCAATTTTTTAAAACATTCAGACACTGAAACCAGCCTGGAAGGCAGTATTCAATAGATAAGAGGTGTCGTACTATTACTTCCTACCAGCTTTCACAGGTATTCTTGTGAAGAGTTTGAGTTAAACCACGTAGAGGATGGGAGGGGGAGAGCAGACGGGGCAGAGAAATCTCCCAGTTAATTTTTCAAATTGTCAGGTACTGGACTAATGTGGAAGAGTGGCACTGTCTTTGCATATTAAGTGAAGAAAAAGCATTTGTTTCTCTGAAAAGCTTAGGGCTCTCTGCGCAGAACCGCATTTGTATTTTCACACTTAAATACTTTGGCAGCTTCTTCGTTAGTGAATGAGTATTTGTGAAACCCTTTCGCCTCTAGAGAGGGGCAGGGGATTCTTCTCTGACCTAGCTCTTCCCCAGAACGTAAAAACCCGACATCTAGCTCTGCTTCTGTGGTCTTTATGGGTAGATACCTACAAATGTGGAGACAACAAGGTCTGTAATCTTTCTGCAAAGTACTTCTTTTGAAGTTAAAGGAATTTTCAAATAATTACAGTAATAAAATCAGCGTGGAGGATCTTTTTAGCTTTTCAGTATACTAAGCCAGAAGCAACTTTAAAATATTGTTGGATGAGACCTTTAAAATGTAGGTTAGATAAATGTAAATTGCTATTTTTCTCAGGAATTCTAACCATAATTTGAAGATTTCTAACTCAGAGAACCTCCAATGTGTGTAGAAATTTGAGTTTAAACACACATATAAAACTTTAATTTGTATTGCACACACCTGGAAGCTGTTGGTTAATGGTTAATTTGAGTCACAAGAACAAAATATGCCAATTTTAATATTTCTATATGTATGATTTCTTCTTTGACAGTCCCTTTTTGTACTATGGAAATAAGAAGCCCTCACTTCACTCTGACGGATAAATGTAGTTCCTTTAAAAAGAAAGGAAGTTTTCAGTGATCTGCTTACTAAATAACAGTCAAATCTAGCTGGCCTCTAAATGACCTGCACCTAGACTCAAACCATTTCCATTTCATAAAAAAAAAAAAAAAAAAAATTTCCTTACTACCCATATAGCTGATTTTCTGCTGCCTGTTACACAGTCCACATTTGTTTCTTCTATTTAAATTGTCTTTTGTTTTCTTTTTCCCCATTCCTTTGTTAGTTACGAGAAACGGCTTCACAATTAAGTATTTGCTTATTGTCTGCCTGTTTCTGGGTATCTTGGCAGTAAGCTCCACACAACTGCCTACTTGCTTGCTCACCCTGCAGCACGATGGGGGAGAGAATCAGAAGAGTAAAAGTGAGAAAAATTGTGGGTTGAGATCAAGACAGTTTAAACAGGTAAATCACTGTAAGAAGCAGAAAAGGCCTTGACTCTGTGTAAGTGCTGCTCAGCAGTAACTGAAACATCCATGTGTTACCAACAGCATTTTCACCAGAGGTCCAAAACATAGCCTCACACAAGCTACTATGAGGAGATTTAGCTCTGTCCCAGCCAAAAACAGTGCACTGAGTTAAATCCTGGGACTAAAACCCTTACAGGACATGGAACTACACGATGGATCATCCTTGAGAAAATGAAGCTTAAAGGCAACATTGTTCTGGACACAAACATTTTACCAAAAAAACGGAAAGTTGACAGACTGGGACTTTCAAAAAAGCCCAAGGGAATTTGGTCCCAGTTGGAATTGGGAATCCCTATTGGATTCTGAAAAAAACACATAATCTTACAGTCTAGTGAAAGTCTTGATCCTAAACACCTTAAATTCTAACAGACAAAAGTCACCAACTTTTTCATAAAAGGGGTATGTGCCTGTACTTAACCATAGTTCACAGATAGTTGTACAACTACAGTTGTACAGACAGCTGTTGGAGCAGAAAAGTGTTCCTAGAACCCTGGATGCAATTAAGAGCTAGTGGTATACAGAAAGGTAAAAGTTGTTTTAACATAAAACTTACAGTTAGATAAAAATAAGGATTTGCTACAGAATAGATGAATCTGCACATTAAAACTGTTTCTTATTTTAGACACTTAGCTCCCAGGGAGCAGCAAGGAGGGAGAACCAAGATCCAAGAAACTAACTGATGTTTGGTGTTGTAGTGCTGTTATCACCATACTCACAGCCACCCTGGCCATCTCAAATATGATCACTGGTGTGTTCGTGACTACAATCCTGTTCCTGCCACGTGATGGACAATGTGAGCTAGTGTTTAAATAAGGGTGTGAAACATCCCTTTTAGAGTACCTCGCCTGAGTGGAAAAACCACTGTGGGTCACAGATGTCCAGCAGCACAAGTAAGCAATCACACCCATTTAAGCACACAGTCTGATACTTGAGATCGGAACCTGCCTTTAAAAACAAAACAAAAAAATGAAACTTAAAGAAAAAAAAAGTAAAGGCAAACATTTCTTCACTTAACATAAGGCATACAGATTTTTTTCACCAGTAAAAGTAGCAGTGATTAAGTAAAGACTTAACATGCACCTTGGTATTTTCCAAAGATTTCACCATGTTTCTCTTGTAGGGAATCTCAAAAACCCCCCCCAGCCACACAGTTCATAAAATGTAAGATGATCAATTACTATGATATAGTAGTAGTGACACCAATTATGCTTCTCATACAGCAGGTTTGCAAGCTATGCAAAAAGGAAATTAAATTAAAAGAAAATAAAGCAACCGAACCTCATAATAAATTAATGATAGTTACAAAAGTATTTTTAAAGAAAGTTTGAGACTGATTAAAACAGAGAGGAACACATAAAAGTACTCTTGTTCTGGGCTTTTATCTTCTGTGTATTAAACAGCTGTATGCTGGAAGGCATGCTTTTATGCTGTCTTTGAAAGAGGGTTTGGGTTTCTTCGGTTTTGCTTTGCCTTTAAACAGTTTAATTTTTTCCTCCTGCATACAGCGAAGGGATATTCTGGACACCTTTCCCAACAGGCAGCATAAAAATTGAAGTCACTTAAGTAAATTTCTATCATTTTCATGTATGGTTTCAACTTAACACTATCCCAGTGTTTCAAAAGCTGAAGCTCAGGATTTGCAGATTGACAGAATCAAAAGATTTTTTCTTTTACTTGGTCTTTCCTGATTATTGTCTGGCTCAAAAAATGTGACTTAGTCTTCTGGAATGATAAGGATGATTGGTCTCTACTACTGCTGGCAAGTCCAGATCTAGCAATGCAGACAGGAAAAAGGCAAACCAAGACCATTCTTTATACCCAGTTTGTATCAGATTTGTTCACACCAAATAGACTTCCTATCCATAAGTAGCACCTTACATGGAACGTACTTTGCTTACCTTAATCCTTATTGTAAAATACATGCAAAGCCAAAACATCAATTAATTTAAAATTACAAACCCAAAATCAAATAACTTTTCGGTACATAGGGATTCAGGGTTCTCTCTTATGCCCTACACAAAATAAAACCATCTGAGTCAGTAGCCAAACTCAAAAAATCATGTTATTTTAAAAAAAAAACCAAGCAAACAAACCTTAATACAGAATAAGATGAATATCCTCAAAAAATTAGTGGGTCTTTGCATGAGTCTTATTGCAAGATCCTAGTCTAGAACATTAAAAATGTGATTTTACTTGAAGTGCTGCAACATAAGCATTTTTGGTGTTCTTTTTAATTATTGTTTTTGATTGTTTTTTTTTTTGTTTTTTTGTTTTTTTGTTTTTTTTTTTTAACACAGATAAAAGCTACTCTATGCGAAAGGGAAAAAATTAGTATTTCTCACAGTCACACTTACTCATACTAAATATTATTTTAGGGTTCCCAGGAACCTTACATATTCTGTGTGGGCCAGGGTGATAAGCCTCTTAAAGATTATGTTCAACATTGATGAGGTCAACAGAAGAGTCGATATAGTGCTGAGGGATATGGTGTAGTTCAGAACTGTCATTGTTAGGTTAATGGTTGGACTGGATGATCTTCAAGGTCTTTTCCAACCTAGATGATTCTGTGAATCTTAATTTCAGATTTTATATTAATTGGAAAAGGCCTTTAGAACCTCTATAATTCTTATGCTGTAAGATTTTGGCTGTTAAGTCTTTTTTTTGTTACTATATGACTGAAAAAGCAACATCGCTATGCTTTAAAGTATGAATTCATTACCTTATTTGCAAGAGGTGGCCGGAATCACATTGAAGTCTATTGCATACATCCTTACTTCAGACACAGAGGTATTCCAGATATTACATGCTGGAAGGTCAAAAAATGCTTGGGAATGTGAGACAGAGGTAACAGGTATGTTCCACCTGTGGTCTTAAGAGTACTCCGAACGGTGCAGCCAAAGTTGAACTATTACTTAATGAATCCACAACATGCATCTAAAAAGCAGTTACAGAACTTGAATTTCTAAAAATATGCAGACTTGGAAGAAAGTGAAGTCATTCAGAACAGATGCCTAGATTCAGGAAAGGCAGTATCAGAAGGCTGGAGTTGTTCTCAGAATCAAAATAGAATCAGGCACTAAACACTTGACTGCTTTTGCACTTCAGAAATTTATTTATATCATAAATGAGCTTTTCACATAAAAAGTCAAAGTCTAGTGAAGGAGTCCCAATTCAGGAACACTTGCTAAGTATGAACAGCTGAATCCCCTCAGCTCCATTGCAACCAGAACATATGTTCAACTGCACTGTTGAAAAGAGGAGAGAATGTTTTAATCTGTTTCCATTTTTTAAAGCCCTTAAACTCTCATCATTTTCCTTTCAAGTCTCAAATATCTATCAGTGTGGAGGAATGGGAAGACACTAAAGACACCAAAGAACAGACTAGTTATCGTAGTAATCATCGTAACTCAACATCTAGTGATCAGTCTGATCATCCCCTGTTACGACGAAAAAGCATGCAGTGGGCCCGACGGCTGAGCAGAAGAGTACCAAGACACTCTGGGAAAACAGCTGAGAAGATAAATCAGCAGCGAATGAACCTTTACAGGAGGTCAGAAAGACAGGAGCTTGCTGAACTTGTGAAAAACAGAATGAAGCATCTGGGCCTTTCTCCAGCAGGATATGGTATGATTACTATAATAGTTAAATTCAAAAATATTAGTGTTATGCAAGATTAACTTATTTTCAAGAACTGAGGGTGCCATAAACAAAGTAAGAAGTTTATGATAATGGTTTGGTTGTGTTGTTTTGTGGGTTTTTTTTTCAGGTTGGTTTTGTTTTTTTTTCTTACTGGGAGAAAATTGGAGTGTTTTTAATCAGTTTGATTTTCAGATGGAAAGCTCAGAAGCAGTATGTCAGTCACGTTTATATTTAGCACATATAATACGTGTATGCAGAATATATAAATATTCCCCTGTCATTGAGTCATTGAACAACTGTGCCATATTTCCACAAACTTACTGAAATTTAGATGAAGACAACTGTTGTGAAGTTCACTTGTATGTCAAGGTTGGGAATTGTCTGTGTGAAGGATATTGCATTTTCCCCACAATTTTTAAAATTAATGTCTTTAAGTAAGTCCTTTCACAGCAAGGCTGATGTTGAGTTGCTTTTTTGTTTGGTTGTTGTTTTTGTTTGTTTGTTTTTTTAAAGCTATTGACATGAGCTCTGTAAAATTCTTTTAATACATGCACCGCAGCTGCCTGGGTTGCATTTCTATGGCCTTGGCTCTGTAGCATGTTATGTAGAAACTCCCAGAACTATGGGTTCTGGTTTTTCTAGATACACTGTGTATTTCTAGCTTCCAACTTATTAGTCTGCATAGTAGGTTCATTCTGGAGTTTTGCATTTTCTGCTTCAGAAGCACCAAAACAGGGTTTCCCATGCTCAATTTTCATTTGAGGAATCCAAAACTCTACTGTTTTACAAATGTGCTACTCTTCATTTTTCAACACAATTAATTTTAAATTTGACTTATCCCTGAAATATCCATTAACTGGAGGTAAATCTGGTGTTTCTTGCAGGATGGATATTTCTATTTGTCCATTTTAACTACACATATTCTTAATGCAGGGTCAAAACATCTTTCGACACCAATATCAATGTAGTACCCAATTGTAGTTGTTGTTGCTATTGACACAAAATCAGTGGTGAGAGAAGACTGCTATAGAGTACATGGTTATAGTTTTGCTCAATCTTTATGAATTAGATATGTAAATACAAGCTCTATCCTACACTCCAACTGGATAATTGCTATTCCCCTGCTTTCTTTGTGGATACTATGTAACTCTCTGCAAGAAGATTCAGAACTAAATAGTTTCCAGGAGTAACACAGGCCACAAGAACATTTGATCAATCACAAAGAAATTTTGTAAGTTTGGTTCATATTTATACTAGTAACAAAAAAACTTTTTTTTATATTCCTGCTTTTCTTTTAAAATCCTAGTTAAAAGCCAAAAATTATTTGTCACAAGAACATTCTTATAAGCCGGTGGAGCAGTTCTAATGATTGCATTTCTCATATTAATTATTTAGGAAGATTATATACCCTATGCAGAACAGCAAAATCTTAGGTAAATTCTTGACCTGATTACATTTATCTGCCCTGATTCTGATCTATAAATATTCATGAGCACTTTTTCTTACAAATGCACCTCATAATAAAGAGAACTTCTACTTTTACAACCGAAGAACAGCCATATTCTGAAAAAAACCACAAAACCCTCAAAAAAGTTCAAACCAGTTTTACACATGCAGTCAGCTACAAACCCAAGTTGTCATATTCCCACTTTCCACCTTCTGTCACATCCAGAAAGAAATTTCAGAAGCCTTTCACCCCCTGCTCATGCTACTACATATTAGTGTCTCTATGTGTGGGGATGACCTCTAAAGCCAATTTCACATCTTCAGTGTCTTTTTTTACATTGATAACCTAATAACATCCAAGCCTTCCAAAATTCAAATTCAGTTAATTAAGTTTATTTAACCCAACTGAGACACCATGCAGTTTTGACTATACAAGCCTCTAGCAGAGGTGTGATGTTAGTATGGTGGTACAGGTGCTTATATAACTATTTAGTTATTTGCGTTGGTTTAACCTTACAGAAATAAGCTGTATTGTAAAACACCATTTTAGCTGTATAATTGCATCTATACTAAGAGTCTATGTGAATTTACCTAATTGTTTACTAGACAGAAGGACCTATGATGGTGCACATATGCAACAGAAGCATTTAGAAAAATTACACACTGTAAAAAATATCCAGTATAGCGATTTTCAATCTACAGTATATAAAGAATATGTCATTAAAAGATTTAGGAATTGCACTGAAACTAGAATGGGGCTGTTCTCTTTCAAATCATAGCCTTCACTTACAACATATCATTAGAACAGTTAAAAAGGCAAGAAAGAAACACTAATTTCCCTTTATACAGCATTCATATTTCAATTCGTTGGCACAGGTGATAAAAGGAAAATGGTTACTACATAAACAAGGAAAGGGAAAAATGGTTTATATTGAAGAAATCTGGAAATGGATGAGTATGCCAGATATCTGCATTTAACTGTTTATCATGAACTTAATGCCAACTGAGGATGGAAGTCTCTGCTTCCCACATTCTAAGAGAAGCTGCATGACAATTACAGTAAAATTAGGTTGTATTCAGAATTGCCATGACTGAAAAAAATGCAAAATAACATTTTTAGAACATTCAGAAAGAAAACAGGGTATTTTGAGAGCGTATAACCCAAAAGATGCTGTTAGTTCCAATTCAAATACAGTTGAAAAGAAGTTGCTAAACTTATTTGAAATGACTTTGACACCTGACCCTTTTTGACAACTCTATTATCCAAAGATGATCTTTTATCAAATTAGTTTGTCAGAAATAATACTTTTCACAATTTGCTTGTAAATATAATTAATTTGGTATTATTTTTGTCTCCTAGATGAAATGAATGATCATCAGAACACCCTTTCTTACATCCTGATCAATCCATCTCCAGATACAAGATTAGAGCTGAATGATATCGTGTAAGTTAAAGCAGAAAAAAAAAAAAAAAAAATTACAAAATCACAAGACCTGCAAAATATGTTTGTACTTCCTGACTGAATTTATTTTATTATCTTTCTGCTGGAAGAGAACCCCAAACTTTCCTATACATCTGCAAAACCCATAAATTTAATTAGTCACCTAATTATGCATATATTTGAAATACACATATAAATATATAATACTGTTTTGCCAATTATTAGGCCTAGCAATAAAGGACACAGCCAGCATAAAGATGAACCAATAACCAAGTTGTATTTGATACAAAAAGGTCAGTACATGGGTGAGCGCTGGGGGTACAGACAAGTCAGTCAGATTATACATAGTCGACATCAATCCCACTGACCCCAACAAAGACACTGCACAACCAACAATGGGTGGAATAAATGGTGAAATGCAGTTTCCCATAGAAGGGACAGGAGACAACCGAGTCAACAAGCCAAATACATAAGACCAAGGAAGCCACATACTGAATCTCTACACAGCCCATGTTTACAAAAGCCAGACCTGACTGGAGCCCAGTCCCAGGGAGGCAGGAGGTCCTTCCCCAACAGGAAACTCTGCAAAGTGCATCCACCTCACAGACAGTGGGACACCTGACCTTTGTTTACTTAATGCAGAGACCTGGGGCTCATTTACCCCATGGCTCTCCCTGCAAGGCCAGCTGAACCCTGGAGGGAAGCTTAAAGGTAAACTCACCCCCCTTTGTGGAGGGCTGTGGGAATCACCCATAGGTCAACCTTGATTTGGGGCTTGGGGTTGAAGCCCCAGCATTTCACTCAGCCCCTTGACATATGGGTGGACCACACCCCTCACACGATCTCTAAATGTGACATCTTTATCTTGCATTCGGCTACAGACACTGCCACAGTCATCTCAGCTGTTTCTTCATATTCTTCACTGTTGTGGTCTTTTTCATTGGAAGATCAGTGTGACTGTGGATCTGAAGCTGATGTCATCTGCTCAGCACAGTTCAGTGTCAGCTTGTATTCCAGCCTGTACACTGCCCATTCAGGTCGAATACATTTGTCACAGGAGTGATTTCATATTCCCAGCGGTGCCACATAAGATCTAGAAGACAAAACCTTAGACCATTGTTATTCCTGCAAATTACATTTATTTGCAGGGACATGTTCCCATTTTTTCTGTCCAGGCTTCAGGATGGTGTTATCTTTTCCTACAGCTATTACTTCAGCTGCCTCAGGGGGGCCACTCGGACCTTGGACCCATACTTTTGCCCCATTACTAAAGTTGGTGGATCCAAATCCTTTGTCTCCATAAACAGTAGTGACTTGGGGTGGGTCCCCCTTCCTCACCGTTGTTTTCAAAATTGGTAATATTGATAGCTATGCTACTCTATCATTGGGTTGAATAACTAAATCTTGTTCACCATTATTCAGCTTTGATCTCTCCTTGGTAGTCTGCATCAATCACTCCTCCCATTACATGAACACCTTTTAGGGCCAGGTTTGAGCGAGCAGTTAAGCCAAAGTGTCTTAGGGGAATTTGGATTCCTATCCCGGTGTTAATAACCCTTGTCTGGCCTCGATTTATCTTTACCAGTTCTTACGCATAAAGATCTAGCCCAGCAGCCTCTGGAGTGGCCCAGTAGGGGGCCACTGCACCTGAAACCATTTCCCAGTGGGTTTAGCCATTAGAGGCTTTATTTGCAGATTGGGCGTAGTCATATGCATCAAGGGTGTCTCCATCTCCCTGATGGGTCTATTGTTGAGGGGGTAGAGCGCATCCATGAGGTTAGATCTCCATCGGGATAGGTTTCCATTTCCCAGCTTTTGTAACTGCTCCTTTAAAAACCCATTAATTCGTTTAATTAATCCTGCAGCCTGAGGATAGTATGGGATATGGAAGATCCATTGAATGTTATGCTGCTCTGCATATTGCTGTACAAATTTATTTCGGAAATGGGACCCATTATCAGTTTGTATTTGTAAGGGGATGCCATAGTATAGGATCATTATATCTATGGTAGAGGTAGTACTACAGTGCGTGGCTTTTCTGCAGGGATCTGCAATCAGGTATCCTGAATATGTGTCAACTGTAGTGCAGATGTATTTGCACCCTTGGTCCTGGGGTAAGGGCCAATATAGTCCATCTGCCAGATTTGTCCTGGCAATTTCCCTCTTCCTAATTTTTTTACGATATTTGGTACCAAGTGCTTATGAGTATGCTAGCACACAGGGCATTGGGCAATTATTGTTTTGATCATATCCAGTGACATAACTATGCCATGCTCTTGGGCTCACTTGTAAGTGGCCTTTTCCCCAAGATGCCCACATTTCTGCTGTGCACATTTTGCCAAGCCTTCATGGTCTCCTTCCTGAGGGAACTCCAGTCCAGCTTGGGAAATCTTTACCAGGTTATCAGTGACAGAATTATAAAGACGGTCAAGTGAATTTATATTACTATAAGCATCTACATGGAATACTGTCACCTTGGTTCTTTGAACCAATTCCCAAATATCTTTCCACACTGCCTTTCCCCAGACCATTTTAGAATAAATTTTCCAATCTTTGGCTACCCATGTTGGCAGCCAAGTAGCCAATCCATTTGCCACTGACCAAGAATTGGTGTATAGGTGACATTCCCCTAAATCCTCTTGTTTTAAAGCCATATATGCTGCATATAACTCAGCATATTGGCTACTTTCCCCTTCTCCTGTGGTCTCCAGAAATTTCCCTGAATGAGGATGATAAGCCAGTGCCTTCCAAAACCTTTTCCCTCCTATATATTTAGCTGACCCATCTGTAAACCATGCGTGTTCCCTTTCAAGAGGTAGCAGCTGATCCAGGGTCTTTCCCCATTGCACAGGGGATTCCTATTCAACTATAGGATCAGGCTTTATCTCTTGATCCTGCATGGGGAAAGCCACAACTTGCTCATGGAGGGAAGCAAGACCACCAGGTCCCACCTTTGCTCTGTCCTGGATGTACCATTTCCACTTTATAACGATCGATTCTGGCACATGCCCTATTAGGTGAGTCTTCGGGGAGCTTTTAACCCACTGCATAACAGGGATTTTGGGGTGCAGGGCCACCTTGTGGCTTATCGTGAGCTGCTCAGTTTCTATCAAGGCCAAATAACAGGCTAACAGTTGTTTCTCAAAGGGCGTGTAATTATGTCCTGCCTCTGGTAACTTTCTTCCCCAAAATCCTAAGGGGACTCTTCCTGTGTTTCTGCCAGAGGCTCCAATTAGCATACATTTACAGATACATTTAATTCTACTTCACCATCCTGCATGGGCCATAAGTCCAAAGCCCTTTGAACAGCCTCTTTTGCAATTCAAAGGCAGCCTGCTGCTCATTTCCCCATTCAAATTCATGCTTTTTGTGAGTTACTTTGTATAATGGGACCAGAATCTGTCCTAAATGTGGAATATGTTGTCTCCAGAAACCAAATAGCCTGATAAATCTCTGCGCCTCCTTCTTATTTTGTAGTATAGCAAAGTCAAGAATCTATTGCCAAGCTTTACGTAGTATATCTCGATGACCACAGTTCCAATGTATTCCTAGGAATTTAACTGTCTGAGATGGCCCTTAGATCTTAGTGGGATTAATCTCCCAACCTTTCTGCCTCATATGCATTAGTAGCACTTGAAGCATTTTTTGTAATTCACCCTCATTGGTCCCCTGAATCAGGATGACATCAATATAGTGGATCATTTGCATATGAGAAGGGAGCTGTACCTCATCCAGGTGCTCAGCCACTATTCTGTGGCAAATAGCTGGACTATGCACCCATCCTTGAGGCAACCTGGTAAAGGTGTACTGCCATCCTTGCCATGTAAACGCAAATTGATCCCAATGCTTTTCTGCAATCGGAATTGTAAAATACACATTGGCCAAGTCAGTAACAGCGTACCACATGCCAGGATGGCTCTGAACTCTTTCTATTAAAGCGATCATATCAGGTATGGCTGTCGCAAGATGTGGGGTGCTCTTGTTCAGTTCTCTATAATCCACAGTCATTCTCCAGGATCCATCAGCCTTTTTGACTGGCCAGATTGGACTATTCCACATTGTGGTAGTCAGTTTTAAAACCCCTGCAGCCAGTAAATCTTTGATTGTTTGGGAAATTTCTTCATGACCGCCTGGAATCCTGTACTATTTCGTGGTTACGACCTTGGTCACAGTTGGGATCTGAACCGGAGGCAGCTTTATCTTCCCTACTAAAACTGCTTGGTTAGTGATATAACTCTTTACCCCAAATTGATAACGGCCATCAAGAAGATTCAAAGTAAGTCCCTTAAGAATATCTATTCTGATTATATACTCTGGGATCGGAACAATCATGACTGTATACTGTCATATCAGATTTCCAATTTTCATATCAATTTGGGTTCGTACTGCTTCAATTTGTTTTCCACCCAGTCCTGTAATAATCTCAGACTGACCTTTAAATTTTTTTGGATTTCCATAAATCAAGGAGGCCTCTGTTCCAGTATCTACTAAAGCCTTCACTATTTGAGAGGACCACTTTTTCCAGAATATTTGTAGCTCCACATGGGGTCGTCAGTCCTCCCGCGCCCAGTGTACCAGAGTTTGGCCAATATTTCAGTATGGATTACAGTACCCACTGTCTCTTGAGGGGTACAGGTCAGAATACTGCTGCCATTCGTGGTTCTTCCCCAGAACAACCAAACTGCTCCCGGAAGGCCCACCGTGAGCAAAGGTGGGATCCCGTTGAGGATCCACAGGGGGTGCTATAGGCTGAACAGTTTCTGACCAATGTGCTTGATAAATCTGCACGTTTCTACGGGGTTTCTGTAACCCTCTCTGTTTGTACAACTCCATAATTCACTGGTGTCAAGACCATCAATTTTAGCGAGAGGTACGCCATCTTTCAATAAAGATTTAAACAACTGTCCTCGAGACAGCCGACGTCTGGTATTTTTACCATGTCAGGTGTCTCGGTTCTACGTATACTCCCAGGGGCCCCACTGACGTCGGAATTCTTGATAGCC